GGGAATTAATTTTGCAATTTGTGAGAGGTCCTCGGCAACCATGATTGGGTCATAGTTGCGAAACCCATCAGGGTTCAAGTTTCCACGCTGCGGGGCGTGGAAACTCGGACGGGGGGGGTTCCCCAGGCGTGTTGTTGCTCAACACCGAGCGCAGACAAGCTGCGCTCGCCCAGAGCAGCTAAACACGACTAGTAGAGGATTAGGTGAGTGGAGAGACTTGGCCATTTACTGAGCCGACCGTCTCCAGTCCCGGGGTACCATTCGGACTGGGGAGTCCCGGATGGATCCCCACGGCAAAAGGGAGTCCCGGAATGTGATGTTCCACGGGACAGCCTTGAGTCGTGCAACCAAAAGCCAAAGGCAGAACAGGGAGGGAGCGTAGCGGGGTGGGGGAAGTTACCCCCTGTCCAGGTGTAGGCGAGGACAGGGGGCCGAGGACTAGGGGTAGGTAGTCTCGTAGAGTTCTTCGTGGAGAAGAATCTCGTTGAAGTGTTGGGGGCTTGCGCCGGGAGGAGGTGGCGATCGAAGGTGCCTCCCGGGAAGTTGTACGCCCATGGTCCAACATCTGTTGGGAGTAGTGGTGGGTGGCAGCAGCGGCTTGGATGCGCAGGTAGCGGAGCATGGCGTCGGACTTCCAGCGCCGAGAAGGCGGATGGCATCCTAGTCACATGGCGCAGAGAAGGGCTGTGGCACCACCAGGACGGGGGAGCGGGCAGAGACCTTGTCAGGGTTGATGCCGGTGTCGTGGGAGATGAGGGCCGCAGTGTGGCGGAGGGCATTGGTGATGAACTTGGGGTTTCACAGGATACCACCGGTTGCGGGCGCATGAAGTGGTTGAAGAGGGGAGTAGGCGTCGGCGCCGTTGGTACGGAGGTGGTAGACCACACGCGCGAGGGAGCTTCACCGGGCAAAGCCACGGATCAGAGGTCGGGCGGTGGCCCACGGACTCCCGCGGACAGCATTCTTTTGGTCAGTGAACGTAAACGTGGCATCGGTGAGGCAAGCGTGGTTTTTCACGTCATTCAAAGAGATGGTGTCTCCGCGGACTTGGAGGCGCCGCGGACAGTGAAGGAGACATCACAGAGGCAAAAGGCTTGGCTTCGGGATTCAAGGTTCCCGGTGATCCAGGTACTCTGCAGGGCATAGAAGCCAGAAGAAGGCCAGGATGCAGAGGTCGCGGACGTGGCGGTTGAGGGTTCCCAAGGTGGCGTCGTCGTTGTCCAGGGCATCGTGCATAGCTCGGAGGATGGAGAGGGTGACTGGGTAGGCGCGGTCAGGGGGTCCATCTTCATCCCTGAGTCCTTTGAGGAAAGCAGCGAGTATTGGTGGTTGTGGTCGGATCCAGCTTTGAGCTGCGGGGATCCGGGTGACCCAGGTCGGTGATCCCCTTCCCGACGGCAAGAAGGGCCTTGTCCACTGAGTCAGCTCGGACATTGTTAGACTCGCGGTAATGGTTTCCGAAGACGTGGAGGTAGCAGGCTTGGACCTCTTGGTCAGGGATATCACAGAGGGATGGGTTGACGCCGAGGCCTGCGCAGAAGTCACACCAATCGTCCGAAAGTCCGGTCGCGGGCGGCGGCCGTCTTGGAGACAATTTTTTGGAAGCGGTCTGCAGCGCAAGGCGGAGATCAACAGTGAATGACCTCGGGTGGCAGAGTCACACCTGCCAGGGTTTGTTCTGCGGATAGCGCTGTTCAAAGTGGGCGAGAAAGTTCAGGCAGGGTGAGGTGTTGCAGACGCGACGCATCATCAGCATCACGTTGGCAGGACCGGGGGATGTAGGACGAGAGGGCGCAGTAGCGGTGCTCTCGCTGGTGTCGGCAGGCGTAGTTGCAGAGGAACCGCAGGACCATCTGAGGGACCGCCCCTTTGGAGACACGGTAGACGGCCGGGGTGTTGTCCGAGAGTGTGTAAAGGGTGGCGTGGTGACGCAGTGCCGCGCCGTTGCAAGGAGTGTTGCGCCAGGATGGCTGCCTGCTCGAGGTCACTGTTGGTGACGGCTTCCCGTCGGGTTGTCCGTAGACACGAGCTGAGCTGCAAATCGGGAGGGAATGGGAGACCTCACAGAGGTAAGGAGTTTCCTCCCGGAGTCAAGTAGACACCGCCCATTGCAGCCTTGGCGGCGTCAGTGGTCTCCGAAGAAGGATGGGTCCTGGGTGTTGGAGGAAACATACTGAACACCTCTTTACGATTGACACGTGTATTAAACATCTAGTCGGTTCGCATGCATGATCATGATTCAAGGAACCAAGGGAGTTTTAGGTCATAAAGTGTTAGGGGGTCCTTATATCAATTCAATCACAAGAATTGCTATGCACCGCAACAAGAAAAAATCCTCCATTTTTGCTTTTCAGCTTAATCCAAAACCAAATTAATCCCCAATAAGCTGCAGTATTACCAGTCTAACACTGAAAAGCAAAAGCCCTTCTCGAGTCGAAGAGTCAACCGTCTCGAGACAGTAAGTCAAGTTGATACCAAGTCAAAGTGTATTGAGTCAAAGTGTAATTGAAGTTAACACTGCAACAGAGAAGAGGTGCTAAGAATCAGCCTCTAGCCAACACTATCAGAGCATCGAAAAGCCTCTAACAGCAAAGAGGTGCGCGCGGGAAGAAAAATCCCATCTTCAGTCACACCTACACGTACAGATCGACCAACAGTTTCCGGCCGGAACTGTGACAAGATCCGTATCACGGTGATCAAGCTAAGATATCCACACGGATTCGCTACTGTCAGCCATCGCGTAAGCCCTCTTATCCAGTGGTTATCTTTCAATCGCGCGACAAGGCACAAGGAAGCGAGATTTTTCGTCCGTCTCATCACAAAGAGCAGAAGCCATAGAACGGCGATTCAGATAAGTCGCGACACAGGCTTGCAAGCAAGAGAGTCCATACATCAATCGATAGAGGAATCTAGCCGCAATCGTTGAGTATAGTGCAAGCTTCTAACTTCAAAAATTTGAGTAAGATAGTTGATCCGAGTGATACAGTGCTATTGTGACGAGAACCACAAAATCCCGGTAACGATTCGGAGAACTGTATCTCAACACGAGAGTTGTTTCGAGTGCTCTAAACTCACACCGTGTACTCATCAAGTATACGAAGGTACATCTGTCAGAAGAACAGGGCAACGAAAGGACCTACAGAGGAAGTTCGCTACTACGCGCTCCTCACCTACAACTCAAGTACATCTCTACTCTCGCAGGTCATCACCTTGTTCGGAAATGGATACCCCATGATGATGCACCGCATCAGCTCTTCAATGCCTCTCGAACAAATTACCATAAGGCAACGACCCCGTCCAAGACCACATTTGGCAAGATCGACAAGCGGCAACCATGAATCACTAAAGCAGCGACCAGCCAAGATCAGCCATTGAACTGCCGATGCAGAAGGTTGTCTCTCTCTCAGCTCACAATTCTTCATTCAGCCGACGCTGAAGGCAAGAACCTAGATTAGATTAACCCACCTCTCCCTCCCTGGTTGCACGACTCAAGGCTGTCCCGTGGAAACATCACATTCCCGGGACCCTTTTGCCGTGTGGGATCCATCCGGGACTCCCCAGTCCCGAATGGTACCCCGGGGACTGGAGACGGTCGGCTCAGTAAATGGCCGAGTCTCTCCACTCACCTAATCCTCTACTAGTCGTGTCTAGCTGCTCTGGGCGAGCGCAGCTTGTCTGCGCTCATGCTCCTCAGACAGACCGCCTTGCTTACATTGGCACAGACAACTACTTTTTAGGGACACAGCTGGCCAAGACACTCAAGCAGATTCAACCAAGCAAGCCAGGAACCTTTGCCCTGGTATCTGGGTCTACCCCCAATCTGATTGAAAGAGAACAAGGTGTGCGAGACCACCTTGTCAAGGAGGGATGGGTGGAAGTAAGCACATCTCCCTCGGACTACAATGCCAGCTCTACAACGGTGGTGGATCAAACGTTTGCCTTTGCTGAGGAACATTCACCAGATTTGACAGCAATTATCCCTGCCATGGGAGCTGGTATGAGAGCACCCGACAACTACTGGCAGAAGTTTGCCACGACACATCCAGAAGTACTGCTTGTGGTGGGTGATGCCATGCCCAATCAACTTGAGTTACTTGATAGGCAGTTCTGTGATGGATTGGTGGGACAGCTTCCATATAAGATGGGTGTCCTGAGCATTGAAACACTGCTCAAGTTCTCAGAAGATCCAAACTATGAAACAGATGAATTCATTGGAACCAATGTATTGGAACACTTGTTGATTCCTCTCATTTTGCCAGAACATGTGGTCGACCATAACTTGGTGGGCCAACTTCGCTATGTGGGGTACACCTTGTTTGCTATTGTGGCCATCTTGGCCCTGGGATTTTCTACTTGGACATGGGTACATCGCAATGTGAGAGTAGTCATGGTGTCACAGCCAAAATTCCTTGTAATGGTTGCACTTGGGGTTCTCATCATGATCTCTGCAGTCTTGGTGAGTGGAGTCATGAACATCATTTTTGGTCTGATCTTGGAGAGGGGTGCTTGTCTTTTTGCTTGCTCATGTTGGCATTCCTTGTGTTCTTGCTCCTGTCCTCTCAGCCAATGGGGTTTGATGACTACTATGAAACCAACAACGAGAGTAAAGAGTATACCAATGGCAGTGATGAAAGCAGAAGTCGCCGTGGTGTTGCCATGTGCATGACTCCTGTTTGGTTGTTGACACTTGGATTCTCCTTGATATTCTCTTCACTGGTTTCCAAAATCTACCGAGTACACAAGCTCTTCCAGAGGGCCACAAGGTTCTCCCACTTGCCCACCAGAGAGTGGGATTCCCTGATTCCACTCATTGCTCTGCTTGTGGCCAACTGCACTATCCTCATTTCGTGGACTGTGATGGACCCTCTTCGGTATGTGCGAGTTGAGCATGATGGAACGGATGGGTGGGATCAACCTGTCAGCACATATGGCATGTGCCAGTGTAACAATACAGTTGCCTTTCTGGTGTCACTGTGTATTGTGAATGGATTGGTTCTGGTCTTTGCCAACTGGGTTGCCTACAAGGCGCGGTCCATTAATGAGGAGTTTGCTGAGAGCAAGTACATTGCTGTTGCCATGGCCAGTATGTTGCAGGCATTCCTTAGTGGAGTTCCCATATTGGTTGTGGTGCAAGAATCTCCTCAAGCATTTTACATGGTTTCAGTCTTCATGATCTTCATCACATGTTCTGTCATCCTTCTCCTGATCTTTGTCCCAAAGATTGTACTCTACCAGCACTTCTCCAATCAACCAGAACATGTCCAAAGAGACCAGCTTGCAAAATCTGCCTTGACCTCTGTAGCACAAAAGAAACCCCGTACCAGTTTGAAACCACAGGATGGACCACCAGCACTCTTATCCGGGGAAGATTCCTTCTCCAACCGTCCACATGAAACAGCAGTAGTGTTGCCTTCATGCTCCCAACAGACACACAACACTACTGGAAATCTGGCCGATGCTGTTTCGGAACAAGCCTTGAGTCTTGTGTCATCAACGAGTCAAAAGAAAACGGCCCGTTTCTCAGAAGAGACAATCCAGGCTGACTTGGAGAAAAGACCCACAGATGTCTTGAGGAGTGTCAGTCAAAATACAGATTCTTGGGGTGGGGCAAGCTTGTCTGGGTGTGAGTCACTCACTGCACTTCCAACGATATCAAAGAGGCCAGTGGATGTAATGAAGGGGGCGACTTCTTGGGGTGGAGCAAACCTTTCAATGGTCATGACAGATGACTCCACCAGCAATCGTGCAGGAGAAGATTTCAAAGATGAAGCAGACTTCCTAACTGAGCCAGAATCTGATGATTTCGTGGAAGCATACACTATCCCAGAAGGTTCTGAGGATGAAGAGGTGGGAATCAAAGAGAACTTGGATAGAGAAGCTGAGTGATGCTCGTTTGGCAACGGGGCGAGGAATTTCACTTTTGCTTTTGAACGGAGCTCGGGGCGGATGTGCACATGCACTGCAGTAGCAGCATCGGAAAACGCCAGCTCCACTCGAAAGATGGGATTGAGCTTCCTTATTGACGGAACATTTACGATCGAATAACATGTAATCTATCATTACTTATGCAGGGTGTTATTATGTAGTCGTTGTGCGTATGGTGGTGCCGTAGTGTTCAACTTCTGCCCATCGCCGATTTGCTGTCTGGTTGGGACACGAACACGAAAACCCATGGGATGGAGGGAACAAGCTCGAGCCATTTGGCAATCCAAACTGTGCAAGGTGCTGTCTATCAAGGCTCTCGAGACGCACCTACGCTTCCTCGACGGTTTGCACCGCCTCGGCAGCTGTCTCGCATTTGACTTTGTCTTTCTTGGTACGATTGAGCCACTGGAAGTTGAAGCGTCCCAATGGGATGATCTCGGTGCCTTCTCCGAGAATTTCATTGATTAGTTCTGCGGCTGCCAACCAGTAAGCTATTGCCGCAGTGACGAGACCAAAATATCCTGCAACCTTGTCCACGGTTTCATTACGGACACCTGCGGAAAGCAAGTAACACGTGGAAGCCAACATGAAGAAGAGCATGTTGATGGTCAGGTGCATCTTGAATGTGCAAATCCACAGCATGGTCGTGAACACGGCCACAAGGAAGAGCATGCATTGCAGTGCCTTCGGGTTGACTGCAGGCGCATCGTCGGCCAGGAGCTGGACAATCTCGACTGTCCCCAGACTCATCCAGAAAGCTCCATAGAGGCAAAATGCGGTGTAGCCAAAGAGGTTATTACGTCGGACTTCTCCTAGACCTGCCACCAATTGGATCAATCCACCAAAGAACATGGCGTATCCAAGCGTAAGCGCATCGACACCTTCCTTGTCGACATCAGAATCTCCCGCGATGGTCGTGTGCTTCATCTGAAGGAGCGCCGTTGTCAGGCCGAATCCAATCAGCCCGAGTGGAGCTGGGTTCGGGACCTGTGGCTTGATGTGCGGCTTAAGAGAGTTCAGTTCCTTGACCAAATCTCCGAGGCCAACTTCTGCTTTGGTATCTTCCATCATCTTCTTGTTTGCTTTGGGGGGCTTATCTTAGCCTTGTACTTTGAGAGAGAAGCAATGGAGATAACACATCGCACGTCAGCTCCGCAGATGCAATCACACCCCGGCAACGCGGTGGTCGTGCATGTGACATCGTTTTCTCACCTTGTGTTTCGATTTGGTTTTGCGCAGTCCTTGCTGGACAATTTCTTGGCTTTGCTTTGCTTATCTACCTTATAGCTGTTTGTCTTGTTTAAAAAAATGAGCCGATCAGGGGCAACAAGCGAGAGTATCCAACTGTATATATCGAAGAGAACTCTAGCTAGCTATAGGTAGAAGCGAAGACATACAAGAAAGCAACACGAAGCTCGCTTTCAGCCTGTTCCGGACACGCGTTCGTGATAACTTGACTTGAGAGTTCGTGGTGAGTCGTTTTCATCATTCCTCTTCGATCCCAACCCCCATTTCGCGAAGCTATCCTTTCCTGCTATGAATTTCGTCTCGTGGTGTCAGGGATCAACAGTGCTAGATGTCACAAGCTACAAGCTACTACCGTTAGTAAGTGTGCTTGCCGTCAAACGAGCAGGGAGTACTGGGACTTGAACTGTTCTCTTTCGATATCTTAGATCGAAAGATGTCAAGTGCAGTCAATAGCTCGGTAAACATTTACTTCTTTGTCTGCCAACAAGATAGCACGTGGAGACGATCTCTGCATGTTTGACAGCGATTTTGAGGTTGACTCGTCCACTCCGATTGTCATTGTCAGGCACCTCACGACTTTCAGTTGCTAGCTAGCTGCCACATTCCAGTCCTATTTTCCGCATCGGTAGATTAGACCCTCTGACTGACGTTGTTTTATGTGATTGCCTTTCTTTGGCATTCCGCTTCGCTTCGCCTGAGCACCTTGTCTGTTGTATCTTGACCATCGTCCCCTAGCTTGCTCTGTCATGACGGCTCACGACATTTCTGCATGCACTGTCTGCCCAGATCCTTCATCCATCCGTATCTGTACGGCCTCTGAGAGTCTACTGGCTCTTTTTTGAAGAGTGCGTTTGGTATGCGGGTTGAGGACTAGCTAGCTAGTAGGCTAGAGAAGAGGACGCTTAATTCTTTTGAGTATTATTGGGTAAATGCATATGTAGTCTACGGTGTGTCTTGTTGGATCTGAGCATTGGGTGTCATTGCAGCTTTCTAAAGATTACACATGCTGGGAGCAACTGAGTGATTGGCATCAATAAACCAACTGAGCCTACCGGTACCCGGTAGGGCAGCAAAGAGATGGAAGAGCTTTCAGTTCCCAAAACTCCTCCCTTTGGGAAGCCCCCTGGGTATTACAGTGGCGGCCATTTCATCCATACAAGACGTGGTGACGAGACTGTACTACATTTGCGACCTCTAGTTAAGTTACGACGAGTCCCAAGTAGGCTCCCCTCGTTCCAAGACATGCACTTTTGCTCCAACAGAAAGCGTGCCTCTCACAGTATGGGCAATGGCATTTTGTGCAAAATAGACATTTTCCTTGACAGGGCCCAGTGCTCGAAATTCCGCCAGTGTCTCCAATGGTTCCTCGGATACCTTCCCAGTTTGTTGATCCGTACAAGATTGCTTGCACCGTGGGCATCCCTTGACAATGTGAAGGAGCACTCCATCACCAATGGAAATAACTTTCCAGGTATCTTCTTCAAACGGTTTGGCACCCGACACGACAATATTGGGACGGAACCGACTCATGGGTATAGGTTCCTTGCCCTTTTTGGCCAGTCGTCGGTTGAGTTCCTCGAGCGATGCCGTATTGGCAATCAAAATGGGAAACCCATCGGTCAATCCCACCTTGGGCGCTGCCCCGGTCCATGAAAGAGCCGCATTCGGTGTGTACTTGTCGTCTGTTTCTCGTCGATTTTCAGCCGACATGGATACCAATCTCACGTTGGCGGCGTTGGGAGGAGCATCGGAATCCTTGGCCACGACGCCCGCTACGAAATTGGCGGCATCATCCCCCATGTCCGTCACGGTGGTCACGTCGTCCCATATTCTAGCTTTATAGGATGGTCGCTCTTTCTCGTCAATATTCAGTTGGACGGATACCTTTTTTTGACCATCATCACTGGACGACAATGTCAGGCAATCTGCAGACAGTGTCGCCACAATGGTGGCCAGCTTGGGCACTTGTCGTTGCGTCACAAATTGAAATGTAGGTTCTCCCGGTCGAAACGATCCCAAGAGAGGTACAGGTCGTGGCATGACCAACATGAATCGTCGATCCCCCACAATGCCATTGTCATCAATCCTTGCTTCGTCCAAAGAGACGGCTCGCAAAGACTTGACTGTTGTTTTGAAAAAACATTGTGTTTGTTAGTTAGTTTGTTAGTTAGTCAGTCAGTTTATTCAAAGAAGAATCCAATGAGCCCTCGCCCTGATTTGAATTCCCAACTACGTAACTAATAACGCACCTGGATACACAAAGATTCCACTGACAGACGCATCCTTATTGTCGGAATCAGCATCACTACTTATTGGTTGCTGCTGGCTGATCAGACGCTTCACTTGGAGCCTGCCGATGACAGCAGATACTAGCTTGACCAATCCAACATTGTGCACTGAAATTGCTGTCGCCAGCAATATCGTCACCAGGCACACTTTCAAAGAGTCGTCAACCTCAATCATCTCAATGATCTTTTATACTCGAGAGTATTGTGGTTTCCTTTATTGTTGTGGCTGCTGACAAAGCAACCGTAATAATACCAGGGAGCAGGGAGCTATGGCGTGTTATTATGGATCGCACCAACGGGAGCAACAAAAGACTTCCACTTCTTATTTTAGGGGGGTTTAGAGATGTGGAGTTTATCCACGCAAGTCCACAGGGGGCACGCTTAGTCAAAGAACAATGGTACAGCCGTAGCTAGCTCTAGAGATAGGTGTAGCCTCCAATACCGGTAGGGAGGGACCAATTTTGGAATATGGGGACCAATTTTGGAATATGGGGACCAATTTTGGAATATGGGGACCAATTTTGGAATGGCGGGACCAGAACCGGAAACGGGACTAACTGGCCAATGCGAAGTTCTCTTTGTTGGTCCAGAGGTTCGGTTCCCCGGGTGAACTGACGTCACCGTCATTCGTGGATACTAACACGTACAGCAGTCTAATTCGGGACTCGGTTCAGTGGGTTTGGGGGTACAAAATAAATGGAGACCAACACGGGGGCCCAAGGCTCATTTCCACTTCCTTTGGTCGCTCACATGCCTAATACTTTCATCCATGGATACGAAGCTTTAGAAACAAGAGGGAACTTCCATAAATAAATAGAATACTATTTTTTAAAAGGCTACTCTGAGTACGACTGTCCACTGTGCCGTTACCCTAAACCGATAACCCCCACGAACATTGGGGCGGAGAGAGTTGGCCCCCTCAGCCGGGAAAGTTTAAAACCCAACCCAGGCAAGATATTTTAAAAGGGGGAAGGTCACCAACAAGAGGGAACTTCCAGAATAAATATACGGGCGAAAGGGGAGGAGAGGGTAGCATCAGCACTTGCTAGCTATCTGACCACATTTCTTGTAGGGATCTTCCTTGTTGTCGACCAAAAGCGCCAGTTTGTTGTTATGTTGTTCGGGTGTTGGTGCCCAACCTCAGAAAATATGCTTGCTTTATTGAAGAGCCATTTGGTATGTGGGTATGTGGGTTGATGGCTAGAAGTGAATTGGCATGCTTAGAAAATGGAGGATACTTCTATGGAGTAGTATTGAGAAAATGTACAAATACTGTGTGTCTTATTGGATTTGAGCATTGAGGGTCATTGCTGCCTTCTAAAGATTCAACATAATGGGAGCAGCTGGGAGGTTGGTATTCCAACTGTGCCTGGGCATCAAGCCAATGGAAGAGCTTTCAATTGCCTAGCCGAAGAAAGATGCTCCTGCGGTGTTCAGTTTTGTCTCCCATTTGAGAAAGGAGTCGTTGCATTCCCTGTTCATAGGAACCTGGAAAATGGCTGGCAATACTATCTTTTGTTGGAATTACAAGCTGCAAATGGAGAAAGGAACTCCCTTGCGCCATTACACCATTGACTTCCCCTGTGGACTTATTCAAATGGCGCCGTTCCCATAGATACATCACCTTGCCAGGTGCATAAATCTTAGGAGGGTAGGTTGCGGTGTCATTGCGCCATTCAGCATGTAGGGATTGGGTGTATTTCAGCGAATACTCCGCCATGTCATCCAATCGTTGCTCTGGAATGGCAATTGGTGCTTTTCGGAATCCCAACATGGTGGCAGCAGCTGCAAAGATGGCTGTCAGCAGGGCAAACTTGCCCCGATTGATCCGTACTTGTTCGTCCAAATGTGCCATGATTGTGGATGTGAAGGTAATGCTGGCAATGCTGAGAGTGGGGATAATGTCATCATTCCAAACAATGGTGGAAATGAAGGGCTCTAGAGCATCAGATGCTTCTTGATTGAGACAAGGAGGTGGTGCATAAGCCCAAATATGGAGGTTGCTGGGATCTCGCAGGGCAGGTATTTGGGCCAGGAACATGGCACCCATCAAGGTAGCCACTGAGGCTCCCAGCGAATGTCCAACAAGCTCAAGTTTGTATCCATCCTCAGTCACGTAACGTCGGACTAGTTCAATAGTATCGTTTGATAGTCGATTGGCTGCAGTCAAGATGCCCTCGTGAGACCAAATTCTCTCCAATCCTTCCAGTACGGGTGCATCATCACACCGTGACAGTTCTTGCTCAACAGTGTATCCAGCGGCATCAGTGAGCAAGTCAGAAAATGCACTGGTCCCTCTGGGTACGATAAGGAGTCGTTTTTGTTGCTGATGAATGGCAATGTAGTGTGCCACCTTTCCTGGAGACGTAATGGGATCATGCTGGATGAGCAAGAATCCCTTTTCCTGCAGACGTTCCTCCAACTTATTGTGGTCTCTGTGAAAGGGATAGGCCAAGTGCGCAAACTTGATTCGTTCTACAAGACTTTCCAGCTCCGCCTTAGACACAGATTCGGTTTCCTGATCATTGGCTCCAAGTACATAATCCATTTGATTGTCCGACAGGCGAGCGGACAACATAGTGCGATGAAGAACGGCAATGGTGTAGGAAAAGAGCACCCGAATCCACACAAAGGAAGATTTCTCTTTTTGGTCTAGGCTGAGGGTTTGGTGAGCTATTTCCGAGACGTAGCCAAAAAACTTTTTAATGCCTTGCCACATAGTAAGATCAAATCGGCCCAATATCTCATAAACGTGTTGTCCACTGGCATCTTGTCGTTTTGCCTTGGTCCATGAGGGAGCGGCCGCCCAAGCAATGCTGGCGAATGCAATCAAGACAGCAGCAATATGTAATAGTAGTATCATTGTGGTTGTGTGTGATCTAATGCGACGTTTGATTGTTGGTGAGTAGCGTTGCTTCGTTGTGGTTTTGTGAGCACGGAGACTAAGAAGGTGGAGGAGGGCGTTGTGTCGAGGGTTGCAGCACAGTATCTTGTGCTAGCTCTTGTGCGTATCTTGAGGGTGAGGCATGCCAACCTAAGTCTTCATTCTTGGAACATGGATCCCGATCGCGTCCGAAACCTTGCATGCAGAAAGGTTTGATCGCGTGCTTTCTCCTCCATCCACACCGCGTTAGACTATGTCTGGTATGCAGGCGCGGTTGCGGAGGCGCCTCACCAGCCCAAACACAGTACCACCTATTTCAGGACCCATCCCACGAAGAACCTGTATCCAAGAAACAGCCCAACATCCAGTGAATGATTGTTGCCTACAGCAGGCCACCCAACCTTGGCAATCTAGTCTCCCACCGCAAACTAGATGACTAAACTGGGGCCCCAGCATCCTCCTGCTACCAGCCCGAATGGAGGCTTAGAGGCTCTGGCGCACCAGTTGGAGCCCGGAGCAACCCAAGGTTGCAACCTAGAATTCATTGACTCGAGTGCCTAGCTATTTAGTCCCTAATGGTCAGGGACACCCCTGCTGCTTGCCACTGATGAAGCACCTCACGAAACGCGAAAATCACACTGTGAACCTTCCTGAGCGGGGATCTCAAGCAGCACTGCTTTCAGTAGAGACTAATGAAGTGGTCCCCAAGATTAACAACGTGAACAACAGGCCCACCTCCAGGAACGACACCAGCAGTAGCTACTGGACTATCTACTGGTCCATCTCAAGCCCCACTCCTTGGCCTGGAAGGCAACTACTCCAACTCACATACCAATTCAGGACCGACTCCCGCCTACCTTTCCTGGACTTTCATTTCCCTGGTCCATCTCTAGGACAGCCCCGCATCTGGACGCCTAGGCCCCACATCAGAACCTTTTATTAAACTAAAACTAGCTATTCTATTAGACCTTTTGATGATTCGGTGGCTTGCTATGGATTGCCTCTTTGTTCTATACTCTGATATTACCTGTACCTGTACCAGCATTGCAGGTCGTGTACTTGCGTCTTGTAGCAGTCAGCACCTCATTTTGTGGTTTATCGCCAGTGGTTTCCTGGGGGTTCATTTGGATCGAATGCCCTCCTCGAAGGACACTCCTTCCCTAGCCGACTCTATCCCCGCCTATGTGGGCAGTTTGTCTTGGACTTGCATCCTGTGGCCTGATTGATGCCGCTATGTTTGTGTTGTCTTTGGCTGCCCCTCTTGCGGTTCCTGGTGGGCGTGTAGGAGTTTCAACATACAGCTTTAGTCTGCGAATTCACTAGTAGAGAGGTCTCCATCAAAGTAGTTGGAGGTGCCCATCTCCCATCCCTTCATTTCCACAACACTGTTGCGAACAGCTGGGCCACTTCGGACACCGTTGTACAAGTCCATACTGTCTCTCGAGGTGGCTGAGGTGTCGCTATTGTCCCGCATGAGAGCCGGAAGGTCGCGGTCGTGCTTCACAGACAATTTCAGGTTGGAGATGCTCTTGCAAGATGGCGATTTGCATACTTCGGGAGTGGAAACCACTCGAATGCCAGCCAAGTAACGTTGCAATGTGGTAGCCACTCCCAGCGCTGTCACGAGGAACATGACGGTGGATTCTGGCTGGAAGAGGTACACGTATAGACTAGATGCCACGGACCCCATTGTCAAGAGCCACATTTCCACCAACCGTTCTGTTTCCCTGTTATCCAACAGAAAGGACACACGGCTGTTAACGATTTCAGGGACCAACTTGCGGTAAAACAAGTTCCTGTTGGGGTGGAAGGAGAGAGAGAGTGGAATGAGTTAGAATGTCCACCAATTCTTGAAGTTTTTTCACGTCCTACTTCCTTCCTTTTAGCTGCGTGTACTTACTCATCCTTGAGCTCGTGTTGCCCATGAACATGATCGAAGAGTTTAAACTCTGATTGAAGACATCGTCCCAATGCCACCGCCGCAGATCGTGTTGTGACATACTTTCTCTTGATCAAAAAGTCTACGGCCTGCCTTCCCGTGAAGCACTTCTTGTATGTCCTGAACCGATAGGTCCTGTCTGCCACAGGCATGCCTAGCCGAAAAGCTTGAGCAATGTCTTCTAACGTAGCTACGGCCGAGGAGCCTCGTTTAGATTCAAAATCCGTGAAGCGAAAGAAAATCTTGGCATCCTTGAGCTCTTGTTTCTTACTGCCACCCCCGCTTGTCACAGGTTGCCAGCACTGTACTCTTCGGTTTAACTCAATGCCGAATTGCACGGCTTGGGGTCGATGCTCAAAGCCCATGTAGCTCTTTAGAAAGGTTACGGCTTCCTTACCAACAAAGCATCGGCCGTACATTCGAAATTTGTGTTTTCGGTCCTTGACAATCAATGTCCGCTTCATCTCGGCGGCAATGTCAAAGTATTCATGAAAGCTGAGGTTTCTTCCTTGAGAGGATTTCATGGTTGTTCTGTTTTATAATTTGATGGGTTTGTAAAGTTTTGAGCTTGGTTTGGGACAGAGGGTCATCTTGTATCTTGCCTTTCGATGCTCACTTGTGAGCATATCCACCAAGTGAAACGCTGGTCGTGCCCAAGATGAGTTTGATCCCTCTTGCGCTCTTTCAGTTTCCAGCGGTGAAAACGAAGCTGTTCTTGAGGAGTTCTTACTTGGTGCCTCTTTCTGTTCTGTGACATCGGTTGTACTTACTATTATAGTATGTATTTCAGAAAGTGTTGAAGTTCTTGCATGTTTCATTGTCTAATCTGCCGCGACTCAGTTGACCGGTCTCCATCGCCCACATTTTCGTTGCGGCTCGGCCACGCCAATCTTGGTTGTACTGGTTTAGATCTTCTTTGGATGGGACTGAGTGGCCTGTACATATAGGTAGGATAGCATGAGATAAGTGTATCTCTCATGGAACGAGCAAGAGCCCTCTGCCTAGGCCATGTAGACAGCCTCCAGACCACAGCTCCAATGTATCCTGCAAGAGTGCCGTATGGTAGGATCCATGTGCTCTTAGCGACAAAGCAATAGCCAACAACTCTCAAGCAATTTACATTAGAGCACATTATTTGTTGATATCTTTGTGAAGGAGCCTTCTCGATGCTTCCTGCTAGCGCCTGGGTTACCAGAGTGGAAAGAGGAATCAACAGCAACGAACCAGCAGTACCTGGTGCAAGCAAGGGAGCAATTGTGTGAAGCGTCTGCCGGCTAGCTACCGGTAGGGACACAGCCTAGACAACAGTGTGCTTCAACGTCACCAGCACCAAGAATGGAGGGATGACTGGACTACTACAAGCAAATGCAGGCTGGTTGCTGCGTACCGCCAGACCGCGGGTGATGGCGAGAGCACAGGATCGGTGCGGCGGAATAAACTCGACTATCGGTAGTTGGCTAGATAGATAATTTTCGTCGGTTGCCAAACAAAACATCATCCAAGACAAGAATCAACCAAACCAAACCAAACCAAACCAAACCAAGCCAAGCCAATGGAGCCAAGTTATAAAGCCACTTGGGTCGTGATCCAGCAAGTCAAGAAGCAAATACCTTGGTTTGGTCAGGTAGAAAGGAGAATGTGGGAGTTGCTTGTTGGGTACGCTACCATGCATTCACAGACCAGCAGTCCCTGCATTCTCGCTAGCTACTTGGTACAGTACACCGTAGCCACCTAGTTCTCTTTTTGCTCCCTCGTTACCGTACCGGTACACTCACTGAAGAAGAGCACGATGGTTTGCATAATATGCATGCATGCAGCCGCCATGGTATCATGGAACCGATGCTGGTTGAATGGCCAATACGAATAAATACGTATGCAACCACGCACAGAGAGGCAAAAACGATCAAGATTGCGTATTCAGCGCGTACCGTACCGTAGCACCACAAAGATCATAACTTGCCTCCACGTCGGTTGCTGGCGACGACATTGGATGACATCAAACTTGCTTATTAATTCTAACTAAAAATGAAGCTGGAGGTCAACCATTACTCGAAAGCTCAAAACAAAACAAGCCAGTACACAGAGTTTTGGTAACCTAATTATAATACCGGGCTCTAGTAATAAGGAGTCACCGATACGGTTTCTCTACCAAGGTGACTATTTAATAATCTTACAGATCCACTTGGCAACGACGTTTGTTTCCAAATTCTGCACATAGATTGTTGGGTGTTCATTTCTTCGTACGGTAATTACATTCCCGGCTCGACGGTCTTTTTGGTAAAATCAGTTTTGGACACATCGACCTGTCCATTTTTATTGTTGTATTCGTAAACATAACAAACGGCGGTATTTTCCTTGACGGCCAACAAAATGAACGAGGGCGATACGTTGTGAGGAGCGACGACGACGGAATGCGCTCCGGTCATGGATCCCGGATTAATGTGATAATATCCATCGTGACAAGTGACTTGATTTTGATGCGAATGTCCATACACGAGAATATCGACATTGAGTTTGCGTCGCATTCGTGCCAGTGCATGTTGACTGTGCGGCGGCAGAATCTGATGTCCGTGAACGACGCCAATGCGGAATTGACCCACTTGCAAGACGGACGTTTCGGGGAAACTAGTGTGGATATCGAAATCCCCCGCCACGACATGCACATTCGGTGCCAATGCCCGCAATTCGTCGTATTGCTCCGCGTCAATGTTGCCCGTACAAACCACGTGTTGCATCTTGTTGGGAACCAGCATGCTGTCATCATCATATAAGAAAGAAATAAAAGACACAGGAAACAGTGAGTAATATTGCATATTGTATCATACAATACCTACCACCGTGCTACCCAATCACTAGCTAGCTAGACCTTACCGTTTGAATTTTTCGGGCACCACGGACGCTCGATAAGGGACATGGCAATCTCCCATTACCAGCACCAGTTCACCAAAGCCTGCCATTTTATTAATTGTACTACTCGTTCTGTTTTTACGATAAAGAGGAGTGTTTGCGGCACTGTATCTGGCTTGCATGCAAATCGGCAATGGGATCTTGGCGGCTGCTCTTTGAGCTGAATTTAGCCCGCTGAGCTGTCAAATGCTCAGTTTTTGTTGGAAGGGGAATGTTGTTCAGCATCGCAGTCAAGAGTATCCATGACTCACTCGACTTTCGCAAGTGCCAGCTTTGAAGTTCAAGGGAGATGCGGTAATAACGTTATGTGATTGATCATTCAAATACATGTAGAGTATTATCAAATAATATCGCTAACCCTATATTAACTACATCTACCTGTCTAAATGTGACTTTGAGCGATCTTGGTTTTTGGCGCGACCATGCAGTTCTGCATATCTTTTTCAGATCCATCACTTTTAAACTTGCTCTGCTCTTGCTTGCAAGATCACTTGCATACTTTTTCTTCTGTCTTCTTCTGGGACAGTAGAGGTGATAGAAGTGATACAGTATAGTACCAAGTCTGTCTTTATCTATTTATAAACACAACACAACAATGGTGGTCTCTACTACAGCTACTGCTAGCAGTAGAAGCAGTATGAACAGTGGTCAGACTGCTACTACTAGTAGCAAGAAGAAGGCCACGGACAGCAATCGCGTGTGGGTCAAGATGGAAGATGACACCAAGATGATGGATGGAAGTATGGGCAGTGGGAGTAGTCGTCGCGTCTTTTCCAAAAAGCAGCCAGATGCCGCCCCATTGAGCCCCAAGAGTACAGCGACGAGTGACATTGCCCCCAAGAGTCCCATGGGTGCAAGTAGTCGACGAGCGTTTGGAAGTGGCAAGTCGAGTAGTACAGCTAGTAGTACAGGTAGTAGTAGTGTGGATGCCCCCGTGATTGTTCGAGCGGCAGCACCATGGCGGTGGAAATTGGGTGTCATGCTCGAAAACAGTGCGACAGAAGGACTGACGATTCGATTGGTCGATGGCGCCACGGGCCACGAATTGGCCGGCGATGCCCATTTGTTGCAACTACCAGCCGATGCGTTGCGAACGCGTCGCGTATTACCGGCCAATTCGTATCCGCGCGACAAACAACACGGACAATTGTTGTGTCCCGCCGATTTGATTTCCTTGACGCATCTCCACGAAGCCAGTGTCGTGGAATGTCTGGTCCATCGGTATCATCAAGAAAAAATCTATACCAACACGGGCCCTGTATTGCTGGCGCTCAATCCGTTTCAAACCATTCATGGTCTCTACGATGATGCCACGATGCGACAGTACTGGCATCATGCCGAATCCAATACCGACGAAGAACTACCGCCCCATGTCTATGCCGTTGCGGATGCTACGTTTCGAGGCATGATGCGCAAATTGGAAATGGCCACGGCGGCCAATCAATCGCAAGAACAGTTCGATTGCAATCAGAGCATTCTCGTCAGTGGCGAAAGTGGTGCTGGAAAGACTGTCACGATGAAATTTGCCATGAAGTATTTGGCGGCATTGTCGCAACGATTGGCCGACTTTTATGCCAAAGCAGGGACGCCCTCCTATTTGACATTGACCAAAAAAGATGGCAAAAAAAAAGGCGGCAGTGGTGCCATTGGTCGCACCATTACCGATCCACTCGCATTGCGAGGACATACATTTGCCGTCAAGACACAACCGTCTCTCTATGTGCCCATGGGAACTAGTTCGGCATCCAAACGCCGTGGAAGTTTGGCGACCGCCTCGACACTGAGCAATCAAACCGATTCCATTGAAAACAAGGTATTACAGAGCAATCCTATTTTGGAGTCGTTTGGCAATGCCCGCACCATTCGCAATGACAATTCCAGTCGCTTTGGAAAATTCATTCAAATGCAATTCACTCGCTATGGCAAACTGATTGGTGCCGAAATTGAAACATACTTGTTAGAAAAAGTCCGCATTCTGACACAGACTCCTGGCGAACGCAATTATCATATATTCTATGAATTCTTGAGTGGCGGCATGGATTTTCGCGAACTCAAAACGTATCATTTCACATCGAAGCAAACGCCCGCCGATTTCAAAATTTGTGCGTCCTCCAATACATTCGACAGACGCGATGGAGTTCCCGACAGTGATACGTATCGCGAATTGCGACGGGCCATGCATATCATGCACTTTTCGGCGGAAACACAAAAAGATATTTTCAATGTCACGGCCGCCATTTTGCATTCGTCCAATCTGACATGGATGGAAGTGGATGGCACTGGCGAATCGGCCGTCGATCAAAGCAATCCGCATTTGGAAGCGGTCTGTCAATTGTTGGAAGTGACACCCGAGGATATGACACAGTCGCTCTGTTACTATTCCATTACCGTGAGGGACAATGTCGTGCGCAAATCATTGAGTAAAGAAAAGACAGAACACGGATTTGAAGCCTTGCTCAAGGCATTGTACGGCGCCCTCTTTACGTCGTTGGTGCGGCGCATCAATCAATCGATATCCTATAAAAAGAAACCAACCAAGTCAGCAGAACCCACAGAAGAAGGAGAAGAAGAAGAAGAAGACGAATTTGTAATCGAGGAGGAGGACGATCCCATGCATGTACCGGCGTGTTTTATTGGGATTTTGGATATCTTTGGATTCGAGTCCTTTACCGTCAACTCGTTTGAACAGTTGGTACGTAAAGGAACTCAGAATGGTTCCGGATGCTTTTGCCATATGGAAAGTGCTGGTGGGAGGTGTGCTCACTCTTTGCCTTGTTCTTGTTTGTAGTGCATCAACTATTGCAACGAGACACTCCAGATGCAGTTCTCGTCGTTCATTCTGAAGAATGAACAAAAGGAGTATGAAAAGGAAGGGATCAAATGGGATTTCATCGACTTTGCCGAGAATCAGGATGTCTTGGACCTGATTGAACGAAAATCGGGCATTATCGGCATCCTGGATGACATGTGCCGCGCGCCTGGAACCACCGACCGAGTCTTTTGCGACACACTCTACAAAAACTGCACCACTTCTTCCGTCTTTACAGCCAACAAAAAGCAAACGGCCATGCTCATGTTCACCATTCACCATTATGCTGGTCCCGTCGAATACACGGCCGATGGATTCGTCGAAAAGAACCGGGATGAGTTGCCCAAGGAATCCACCGAGTTTTTGCGCAAGAGCCCCAACGAGTTTGTCCGAGAGCTGGCCGAGATTATCGAAGGCAGCGTCAACGTGTCGGATGGCACCAGCAATAACGGCGGCGGAAAGGGCCGCAAACAATTAGCACGAACGGTGGGTGGTCAGTTCCGAGATCAATTGAAAGATCTTCGCGTCAAGATTGAAAAGACAACGCCGTGTTACATTCGTTGTCTAAAACCAAACGATCTCTTGGTACCAAATCGCTTTGAAATTCCCATCGTAGCAGAGCAGCTGCGATGTGGAGGTGTCTTGGAAGCCGTCCGCGTCGCTCGAGCGGGCTTTACACAACACTATCCGCATGTGGAGTTTGTTCGGCGGTATCGTCCTCTTGTTTGGAGGGAATGGCAAAAGAAAGCCATTGCGTCATCATCGGACGTTGGCGATGTCTGCCGAAAGCTGATTGATGCTCTGTTTGAAAAACTGCAGCACCTCGAGGCGTCGGAAAAGAAAGACGGAGGCGACGGACCTCGCTTTGTCAAATTGGGGATGCAAATGGGCAAGACCAAGGTCTTCTTGCGGCAACGCGAATTCGAAGGGCTGGAACGGCAGCGTGGCCATGAGCAGGGCAAAGCCGCCCTTCTGCTCAACGCGACATTCCGTGGATATCTGGTACGGATCAAGTGGGCCGAGTACGTCCCTCTGCTTGAACGACAAAAGAACGACTTTTTGAACGACCGCGAGAAGAGATTACGCGAAGAGGCAGAACTAAGGGCTCAAAACGAAAAGTCCATGTCTGACATCGCTGCCAACTTTGCTGGAACGGGTGAGCTTTTGCTGCGCGAGGGAGAGCGCGAATTGGTTGCTGGTAAGGTTGCTTCAAAGAACCCAGTGAGCATTGCCGACGCCATGAAGAAGGGTCCCTCAGGAGACTTCAAGTGGGTCGAAAGGAATGGTGCCTGGGTGAAGAAGTTTTTGAACGAAGACTGAATCGTTTTTGGTTCCAGTGGTTCTCTTGCCGAGTCTTGCTTCTTGCGACAGCGTGCCAGTTGCGAGCCCGAGAATGACAATCGTTGCATGATGTTGTCGAACATCGCACGCCCCGTTTCCTTCTGGGTTCTTGAGCTCTTTCAAAAAAGAGAGAGTCTCCTCGAAGGAAGAACGCCATCTGCTGAAGCATTTCGAGCTGGCAAAGTCGTGAACGCATAGTTTGCTCCTCAAAGGATGCAGGAGACAGTGCCGGTTTCTGAAACCAAGACGCCTTGGCGATTCCGATTGAATTATTCGAATAGGCAACTCACTGTGCTCCTGTTCTCTGGTAACGTTTTATTAGACATTTCCTTAGAGATCACATAGTCCTTGTAACGGTACGCTCTCAGTGCTCTGGTTGCCTTGCTTTCAAGCATCTCAACTGGGGGGGACGGGAACAGGAGACAGTGACCCGGCTTGAAACCACGGGGGAAGTCTGTAGCTAGCCAGTAGACTACGGGATACTACCGTGCATCAACTTGCTAGATCCAAAGAATCATACATGCTCTGCCTAGCTTAGCCCCCCCTCGCTCCTTAATGTATCTCCTTAGTATTTCTTTCTGGTACATGATTGTCTGTACTGAATGCACGAGGAAGGCCATTTGCCCGAGATAGCTCTCTTGTCAGTATGCGATGACGAGGAACCTTGATTGGGGTACAACTTGCTACCGGTACTCACCGAGCACTGATTGCTGGCTCCATAATCACCTCAACTGCAACGGTCTCTAGCATGGCTAGCCACCCACCACACCCAAATCAAAATCTACAGTAACCTAGAGGTCTCCTCTGGGTACGGTACCGTTGTTCCCACGCACACTCTTCGTTTTGGGCATGCAATTTCGTCTCCCGGAGACGACTTGCTTTAGGGGTAAGGGTACTGTTGGGGGCAGAGGTTTGAATTATACCCGGCGTGCAATACTTAGAGGCCTCTGTAGAAGTCTACGTATTTGACTAGTATTGTATTGACGGGATACAGTCAACGCATGTACATGCACATGAAAGTCGCCTCGCTTTTCACACAAGTTTCGCATGAATGAGCTCGAGCGAGGAAGCGGTTTCGGTTTCGGGGCGAAGCAAAAAGAAAGGGATGAGCGCTCCGATCGTCGACCATGACAGAGTGAGTCGCAAGGAGCCGGCGGCTTGCTGCGACTACGGAGCCGACTGTTGCATTAGTAGTAGAGGCGCCATGGTCGCTTCGGAGAGGAGAGGAAAGAAAAGGGCATAGCTTTCGCTTGTTTTCGATGGTTGAATCTATGGCTGCTTCGACTGACTGCTTCGACTGAGGTTGTTTCGTGCGACGGAGAGTCAGTCAGGTTGCGTTTTCCTTCTCTTAACCTTCGGTTAGACAACAACCAATAGACTAGCAACAAGTTCAATTTTCCATCTTCTGAAGCAACAAATAGCCATAGGAATTGTCTCAGAATGTGGAAAAATGGTGTTGCAGCTGTGGACGTGGCTTTTGTTCATTCATTCCCACTAACCTCGTTGACAACACACATGATCCGTTAAGAGAGGATCAACGAGGGATGGCCACCGACTGATAAACATGAAAGCCACTCGTATCCTCTTTCGTTCATTATTGCGATTCCTTTACTCTATTTTTACTCTATCAAGATGGCGTTAACTCCTCTCGGCAGCGGCGATGGCGGCTACTCGTCTTGAAAACGCCACCGCCATGACAGGGTCCTCTTGTTTGGATAGACTGGAAGCAGCGGTAGCGACAGCGAGTCGAGCGACGGATCAAGGTCGATTTCTTCCACGTTGGATGGCTCCTCTTCACGGCGAAGAAGCGACCATGACGCCTTCTCTTCCATGGAGCGACGACGGCTGCAGCGCTGCAACAAACGGCTACTACTCTATGCAGAGTTCGATCTACCGGAGCAAGAGTTCGGTCTACCAGCAAGAGTTCGATCTATGGGAGCGACGAATCGTTCGTCTTACCGCGACGCTACAGTTGCCATTCTGTCGCCATTGTGGCTTTTTTTCGCCGCACCTCAATTTCGTAAAAATATTTTACTAGTAAAAAGCACGAGGAACCCCCATTGAGAAAACGCTCGAAAATTCACTTCCTTTGCAAGCAGTCAACAACAACAACAACAACAGCAGCAGTTCTGACGCAACCTGCCACTACAATCCACTCACTGTTGGTGTTGTTGAGCACGCCGAAGCGCTACTAGTATTGTGACAATTTTGGCGATGAATTCAACCGTCACCAACTTCACGAATTTCACCATTTTTGCGGCGGTCAATGAGGTTTATTGCTGGTAATCCTCAACCTTATTTCTGGAAACGGAGACGACCCAGTGGGCATATGAATATTGTAAAACAGATATGGCAGCCAAACAGTTTGTTGATCAACAAGCACCATCCCGGAAAAACAAATTCCGATACCTCAACGCTGGTGTCATACTCGGGACACCCCAAACACTTGTGTCTATCTTTAAATGGGTCTTGCCTTACATGAAAGAACACAGGGTTGATGATCAGGCAGCCCTGGTCAAATTTTGGCAGCACAACCCTAACAAGATCACACTTGACTACGAGTCAGAGATTTGTGGAATCATTTCTCCAGTGCCACAATTCTTGGCACGAGACTGGGATTACAGTCCCCTCATAGAAGGCTTGTTGGACAGTAGTGCTGATCATGCTACGCGGGCTACTGAAGACGTACTACGTGGTGTTGCGACAAAACAAGATCAAGGCTTCATGCGCAAGTATTCCCACAAACGACCAGGCCTCTTGCATTTTGCAGGGGTGAAGTACCTTGATGAAACTTACAATAAACATGCCACGTACAATCGTTGTCAGCAACACTTACTCCATGTGTACAATGTGCTGGGGAGAGTGCTCCTGATGACATCCCGAGAGGATGAGGAAGGCTACACGGGTAGCCATGACAGTATCACTACAACGTCATTGCCACATGATCATCAGCCACAACCAGCAAAGCGCCGTGTGGTTGTTTCTTTGACAACGACTCCTCCCCGCATTGTGGGCATATTTCCGGTATTGCTCAGTCTCGAACGGCAATCTCGGGTACCGGACGCGATATACCTCAATGTTCCGCAGTATTCCAAGCGATTCAATCAAGAGTATGTTGTTCCAAAAGCTCTTCAAAAGCTCTCGTGGTTGACCCTCAACATGGACTGCGAAGATTATGGTCCCGCGACCAAACTCATACCAACGCTAGAAAAAGAAACGGATCCAGACACTCTGATAATCAATGTGGATGATGAATACATCTATCCACCAGATTTTGTTGAATCACTTGTGCACCAACACCTTAAGGCACCATACATTGCCTTTGCCAATGCAGGGCAAATGATTGACACAGATCACTTCTCGTCCACGGGTGTTCGAGTGCGTTCTGCCTGTCATTATTACACAAGGCAGTGGAAGAAGCAGTTGGCCGCCGTGGACATACTGGAAGCATTTCAAGGAGCAATCTTTCGAAGGGATTTTTTCTCACTTGAATCAATCAAGAACATTCCCAGCAATTGCTTTGGAACAGACGATATTTGGATTTCTGCGGAGCTTGCCAAGAAGGGGATAACACGTGTTCGAATTCCCTTCACCCAGCCTGACAACTGGACAAGAGATGCCATGATTGTTGACAAGCTAGCACCCCTCCGAATTAACAGTATGTTTGGAGAATCCAAGAATGACAGGTGTGCTTTGGAACTCCTTCCGCATTTCCAAAAATCGTGGCGCCAAACAATGCAGCGCATTCCCATAGGCTTTGAGTGGCTTGATTATCCGAAAGCTCTGCCCAAAAATGCATACTATGATGAAGAGTATAACGCTGATCGCGTCACTTCTCCCTGTTCCATGCCAATCGAATGATGCCACCGAATAGACAGTGCGCCTCAAACAGTTTGATCTCCTTCAGGCTATCGCACACACCAGATCGACAAGAAACGACCATGTAAACAATAAAAATGAGCCACAGGCCGCCAGCTCACAAAAACACATTGGCATCTTTAAAAAACCTTGTGCACGTGATCCTCTTTGTAGTTTCCAGAACCGATAGATTCCACACTCCACGAGGGGTTGTCGCACTCGGAGCCCATCTTAGGTCTTTCCTCTTCGTATCGTAGGCAACACGTCGAGACTTCCAGGTACAGTATCACATACACTAGTACAATGGTATCATACAGTACTACAATAATATGTACGGTACCGGTAGCTTCCGTCACTCTTTGGAAGGTGCACAAAAACTTGCATGAAAGTCTGAAGTATCTGGTTGCGCCGAAATCATTTGCTTTGATCCACGTTGAAACGATTGTTTTTTTAACAAGCCTCGGCCGATACCGCACCATCGGCTGCTTGTTCCTCTTGCATGGAAGTGTATTTACCGGTACTGTGCCTTGACAGCGACCATGCCTTGTCGTGAGTTCCTGAGAAAAGCTGTGGAAGGCTACATGTTTTGGCTAGTTCTCGACTACGCTTCCAGTAGGAGTCAAGAGGGCAATTGGTTCTCCGAGATTGGTTACCGGCCAGATCCAGTTGCTCGCTACATCACACAAACAGCACCTTGGCGGAACGGACGCAGGAAGGTTTTGGATTGGGGTTGCGGCGGCGGAGGATTGTCGCGTGCATTGGCCGAGAAAGGAGCGGACCACGTGTTGGCGGTCGATATGGATGTCGACGCAACCGCGGCAGCCCAACAAACACTGGAACCATTTCCCAATGCCATGGCAACGGGACCTTGTTTGGATCAAGGCCATATTAGCTACTCTTGCCAATTTGACATTGTCGTGTCCTCCGCTGGTGCCCTCAGCTTTTTCACAACAGATGCTCCCAGACTCCCGATGGTGCATGCATGGAAGCAAGCTGTACAAGCATGTCGCGAAGGAGGAATTGTGGTAGTCAGTCAGGGACTCAAGTCATGGAACTTCCGCATGCTGGCTCTCTTGGTGCTCTCCAGCGGCATTGGATGGCACGTGAAAGATCCGCTGCTCTGGGACGGACAATGGTGGTTTGAAGTGGCTTTCTGGGTAGGGTTGGCCAATCCATTTCTTCGGCAAAGTGAGGACAGTCGGTTAGCCTTGTCAATTGGGTATTCCATTGTGGGGTCCATTGTGAGTCAGAATATTGCCCGTAGCTTCATGCTTCGGCGATGGAGAATCAGCTCGATCATGAGTGCAGGCTGTGTTGCACTGGAATTCCTTCGCATGCTCTGGCGTGAAAAACGATTTGTCAATCAATTGAAGCAACAAATGAGAAATGCGGGTCTCCGAGATGTGAAGCATTGCCATCGTTTGGTATTCCCGGTCACGGAACCAATTGCTGGTTGGCGGGCTTCCCTGGCAAGCCCGACTCAAGTCTCTGCGCTTCAACCTGTCCAACTTCCCTGTAAGGAGATTGCTCATTCTAGAGGGGGCCAAAAAGAAATCTCCCGGTCGACTGGGAATCCAGGTCAGCCGTGCAAAGCTGAGGCAAAGCCGAAGGTACACGAGTGACCGTCGGGCCTGGAACGGCGACAAGATCGCAGCCGAGAGCGAGGCCACCAGTGAGGCGGGAGATCTCTGTGTGTAATCTACCTGACAACAGCCCGAGGAAAGATGCGGCGACAGGAGCGCCATGGTCGAGGTTGATCCGTCGTGTACACCGTAGTTCTTGCTGCTGTTGTTGGAGTGGTTATTGCTCTCCCATCAAAGTGTTGAGTGGGTGCTGCAGTGCGGTACGATCATGATGTAAAGAGCTAAACGTGGTATATCCATGAATGTTGCATTCAAACCAGGCAGTAGAAGATGAGGGATTCGCTTATCGTCACAAACGTATTACGCTAATAGCTTCCCTCGCGTCTTGCTGGATGGCTTCTAGCTATTAGTCCCACCTCCGGCTAGATAGCTTTGCTTCCAATATATACAGAACGTTGTTCTGGACTGCACGGTCACAGGTGAATGTCAGGGAAAGAGACAGATGCAAAAGGAAAGTCCACGAAGAAGGTGATGCATGGACGATCGATCGGAGGATACAGCCGTACCGCCACCAGTGCACCGACAGAGCGTTGATAGGTCATCTGTTTCATGGTCGCCGTCGCAAGATCTTTGTGGTGGCCCACGCACGGGTAATCTGTGATGTGTGGTACCGGCACTAGCTAGTAGCTCTGTGTGTGAACTCGATTGACACGAAAGAAGTGAAAAAGTGGCTCGAGGATGCACACCTTCAAAAGAATTATCAACCATCGCCAAGAGTTTGGCGGCATGCTCCAACTGTTGGCCCTCACAATTTTGACGACCCCAACGGAACTTTGGCGATGCAGAGGCGCAGGTCGAGCGACTGTGGCTGCCACCAATGAAGAGCTTGGCTGCTGCTTCCATGCATGACGAGTGCTGCCAACATCCTGTTATCGAGTAAACTAACTACCACATGACAATGATGAGGTCCTCGTCGCCCGTCAGACGGCCGTCGTCTCCTCTACGGAGACCTTTGTCACCCGCCGAACGAAAGGGTCGTTCGTCGTTGAGATACCCACCGCACAATCAACAGAATGGAACCAACAAAGCGAGTCCCTCCTTTCTTAGCTGCTTTATCGGGGAATCTCAATCTACCAAGCGATCGGTCATGCAAACACATTTGCTGGGGATGAACTGTTACTGTCTCAAGGCCAACTGTTCAGGGATTGTCCACGTGGTCGAAATGGATCGAGTCTTGACGTCTCCGTGCTTTGATTTTCCCATTTATTCCTTGGAGACTAGACGGATTGTCAAGTGCAACAAGTGCTTTTATGTCAGTAGTCTTCAAGCACACAGACTCAACTCGATTGGCAAGGGCAAACTTCCCGTCGTCAAGCTGGCACGGGCCGCGGCCGCTAACGCCAACGACGAAAGCAAGTCGGCAACCTGCGATTCGACCAAGGCTACCCGTGGAGGGGTGGGATATGTGAATAAAACTAGTACAGTCGACCATCGAAAACGAGCAGACGACAAACAAAGCACCTCGAGTTCGTCGATCTATTCCAAAACCAGTACCGGCAATCCAAGAGGGGCCAGCATCACCAGCAGCAGTCGCATCAGTAGCACTGGTGACAACCCAAACACAAACACATCATACTCGGACAACAAGAAACATGTGAGCATCGTAGACGGCCACAAAGTGATTCATCACCAGGGAGGCGGGTCCAAAGGGAACGACGTTTACCAAATCGTTGGAGTAAACGATCACGCACGCGACAACTCTTTTCCGCCACTCGATAATAATGAGAAGGATGAACCCTACCCCAAGCCTACAGACGAGGACAGTGCTGAAGCTGCGGCTCATATTGCTCAATTGATCGAAGCCATCAAGGCAACCGGAGCAGAAGATGAAGCCTTGCAAATAGCGTCGCTTATTCGGAAAATTCAAGCACAAGGCGATTGGTTCGGTGGCGGCAAAACTAGTAGTCCCAGAGAGCCCGATGGAGGTCGTGCTTCCCAGGCGCGAGAGAGCCGAGATCTATCCTATGACCAGCTAGTAGGGGGTAGAGAGATGCTGGCTGTAGATGATGATCGAGTGGAACCACCAGAGTGGCTCTTTGTCAAATCCAAGGACGAAGGAGACGTGAGCACGGACATATCGGGGCTTCATAGTACCCTGAAGATCCAAAATGACCCCCCGATTCAGTCAAGCACTACTACTAGTAGGCGTTCCGGTGAAATAAGGAGAATTCCAATTGCCAGAGTGGCCAGCCCACACAGAGGGCTTGACCCACCAAACCCCGCCTCGGAAGCTTCTGGATCGGAAGCCTCGGGAATATCAGAGGTGAGAGCGACTATCAGCCGCAAGTCCAAGAGGAGTGGACACTCACGCGTTACGCCGCATGAGGCCAGCCCCGTGTCAAGGAGGAGCGGACAGTCCCGTGTTGTGCCGATAGATGCTAGTCCCATGTCAAGGAGTGGGCAAACTCGGTTTTCCGCTTCACAAGTCAGCCGCAAGACAAAGTCCAGCAGTCCAGCTCGAGGAGGTTTTTCTTCCTCTCGTGCTTTGAGCCAAAAGTCAAGGAGTGGAGAATCTTCCGATTCTCAAGTTTCTCATGCTCAGCCCAACAGATCGGTTTCTTCGTCATCAAAGCTGGGGGGCAGCATTAGCCGTGAAGCATCCCACGGTCATCCGAACAGATCCGAATCTTCGTCATCACGGCGCAGAGGGGAGAAGAGCCTTGCATCTCAAGAGCTTGCCGGACCATCAGATCTCATTCAGTATATTGCGAGAGCTAAGAATGCAGAAACAAAGACACGAGATCCACCGCAGAGAAACCGTATGAGCGCACCAGCTGACAATGAACCGAATGCCACGAGAAACACTACCGGTAGTGGCATCGGTAGTTCTGATCCACCTGTCTATGCTGCACAACGAGTTTCCAGAGCTCAACAAGAGCCTGGTGGTACCAAGGCTAAATACAAAGATCCGAAGGGGCGACGACGGAGATCTACACCGTCTCGATCGTCCAACCTGACAAATCCAAACAGGAAGCATATCAAGGAAGCAGGACATGACGTTCACAGGGATCCTGAGGAAGCTCACCAACCGGAGCATTATCATGTCACTTGCGTAGTTGAAGACAGTCGCGACGATGCACCTGCGGGCCGCGCACCAGAACTATATTCTGCTCGGGGCAGAGTGGAAGCTGACCAACAGGAACATGTATACCATGGCCATCCGCCACAAATTGTAGAACAGGACAACGGCGGAGTCGACCAGGTGTACCCAGGGCATAGTCATGGACACGGAACACTTGATGTTGGCCGCAATCATACTCAAGTGCACTACCAGCAACTTTCGCCGACTATACGGGTAGCTGGGAATGAAGCTGCGCTTGTCCGCAAACCAGAGCCTAGTCCAGCAAACGCTGCTGGTGTTGGAGATGGCCACGACAGTACCACTATCCGCCAAACAGGGCATTATAAAGCTCAACCTGCTCAACATCCATCACAAGGATACCCGCGTGCTGGGCAAAAGTAAGTCAATTTCGCTTGTTTGGAGGAAATGAGATTGCTTCCTTTCGAAACTCAATTTGGTCATTGTTGTTCAAATTGACTTCGAGAAGTTCCGAGGTTCGCGATGGCGATGGTGGATTGCAGGCCTGCTTATCAGACTATGACCCACGTTCGACGACGACTGTATTATCTCCAGGCATGCTGCGCGCGGACGAGATTGACCAAGGATTGATGCGTGTTGCTGACGAAGTTGATCGAAGCATGAGGCGAGTGTCCGACGAGATTGATCGATCGTCTCGGGCAGCTTCTGCCGAGGGCATTCAACGCATGGTTGATGAACTGGATCCGTACGAAGCAGCATACCCGGTAACCCCAGATACAGGACGACTTCGTCCGGTGTTGCCGTCGCCTCGTTCTATCCCAGCAATGTCAACCCCTATTCCTCTCAGGGCCAGAAACCATGAGAGGGAGAGGAGCCGAAGCCGAAGTCGCCAGAGAAATAATGCAAGTCCACACGTGGCCATCGACTATCGCAGAGAGCGCAGTCAAAGTCGCGAAAGAAGTCAAGGTCCATACATCCCCTCAAACTATCAAACGGAAAGGAGTCGAAGCCGCCAGCGAAGTCCTCATGTGGACACGTACAATCAAAGGGAGAGGAGCCACAGCCGCCAGAGAAGTCTGCACGTGGCCACAAATGGTCAAAGGGAGCGACCTCATAGTCGCCAGAGCAGCAGAGGTCGCTCAGAAGTCCCATCCGACATTGCAATGGCACATGGCGCGAATGATCTTTTCTCCTTGCCTGCTGTTCAGTAAGTTGTCATTTGATTTATGCATCTCGTCCCCAATGCTCTCTGTGGTGCCGAATCGGTAGTGGTCTTACTCCGTCCTCACAAATGCACCTGCTTGCTTTTATCTCTCGCTATCCACGCATCCTCAGAGCTCCCGATAAACACCTAGCCACGGCAGATCTCCCCAAGCACGAAGAGGTGGACAAGTCTGTTGATGACATTATCAAAGAAACGGTGACTGTGATGCGATCGTCGATCCCCCGCTCGGCAACGGCCATTGCACCTGTCATGCCTGAGCTACCGTAAGTTGAGGTGTGTGGCACCACTGTGAATGGGCGTTGTCCCAGTGCCCAAAAAGTTGCTGGCTGGATGCGGAACACTATTGTCGCCCACTCACATTTTGGCTTCTTTCGTTTGACAACAGGAGAAAGAAGAAGATACGAAGGCGCAAGGCCGAGAAACGAGTCCCCGAGGTACCATTAGTTACTATCAAGCGAGAGATGTATCCCAATGCCTACTTTCAGGATATCACGTGAGTATACTGGAGAACAGTCTTGTACCTGCAAATGCTTGTATCAACCTGCACCGGCCTAACAAGAGCTGTGCGGTTTTTGCGTTCAGTGTTCCTCGCGATGAATGAGTAACTGAAACAAAGAACAATGGTTTAAGCTATGGATGACTTGCTATGGTATTTTTCGTGGAGTAAGCTAGCTATATACTCGTAGCCGAGAATGCGCTGTCATAGCTACTACTCGTAGCCGTCACATCTAGTTGCGATCCTGGGGGATGTGGCGTGAAGCCAGTCATTTGACTTTTTGGTTTCAGCAGCATTGGCAGGTGTTGCCTCACTACGGCATCCTGTGCACTGTGCACTGGTGCGGTACCGAGCGAGACAAGAAGGAAGTGTTGAGTACAGCAAGTGTCCAATGCATGCTGGCAGAATGTCTTGGTTTGCTGACCACAGCATGGAAGACAAAAACTGTGCTACAGAACGAAGCGCTGATATGATAGTCACAACATACTATAACCATTTCATGGTACAAAAATAGATCTCGAGAATCAAAACAAAGCCACAGACTTTTAGCTAGCTGTTGTGGATGCCATCTTGTTCCCATTGAAAACAAGAGTTTCCCGACAAATAATGCAGCTAGGCGCGGCAATCTGCATGAATTGAATGTTAAACGAGTGACGAGTCCTCCACAACGAAGCCTCGACAAACAAAAATAGACAATGGCCGTATTCCAGAAAACGACAATCCTACAGAATAAAGCAAGGCCACAGGAATTCAACATACGGAAGCCATCGAGTGTCTGACAGAAAAATGCCATGCCCGAGGGACAAAGAATGCTTCCATCGGAGAGTAAGGATTCAATTATTCAAACCGCCTTTGATTTCTAAGTACAGTCGTACATTCGTCAGGGGAAGATGTAATGTCATCAAGGAGGATGCATTCCAGTTGATTGTTTGAGTATTTTGAAAAATCCATCAATCACCAATTCTTCCCACCGTCAAACCAAAACACCAATCCATATTTGCTCATCCTCATCATCATCATCATCATCACATATCCAATATCCAGGTTTGTCATTTCATCCACTTCTATTCTTTAATCTTTTTGCCTTTACTCAAATTTTCCCAAAATATCCGATTCTCGGATGAGAAACAATTCCTGGTCCTCAATTGTGACTTTGCTTCCTCCATATTCCGGAAGAAGAACCTTATCACCTGCTTGGAGGCTTGTTTTGTGAAGAGTGCCGGTCACATCACGTTCCCCGGGTCCAGCCGCCACCACTTCTCCTTCATTGGGATCTTTGGTCTTGTCGGTAGGGAGATAAATACCACTGGCAGTCTGAACTTCCTTGGGAGCTCTCTTGACCAAAATTCGGTCACCCAAGGGCTTCAGAGTTCGTGCGAGGGCCTGAATGATGAAAACATTGCAATGAAAGTACAAAAAGAAGAGATCAGTCAAACCAATAGAGCATCAACCAACCGAAGCTGAACTCGGCCATTATCCCACTAAAGAAGCTGCTGACAGAAAAAGCCTCCAAACCTCATTTCAATGCCCAAACCATTTTGTTCAAGACACACACACATTGGACGCCACCACTTACGCGTGTTCGGAACATGGTTACACCACTTATTAGTTGATTGGAGAGAGGAACAAAAAGTCAAGAGAAGCCCACTATAAAATTTGTGAGAAATTGTGAGAATGCCACAGCTGTGGTTGTTGCGTGTTGGAAGAAGGAAGAATGCAATGGAAGATCTGCTGCCAAGATCCAATGGTGATCCGCGGAAAATGCAGTCAGATCGGCACCTGAGTCACGTATTGGGACAGGTAGACGGTCACATCGGTTCATACCCCCATCAGTTGGGCATTAGCTGCCCGGCGCGCTACATTATTATTATTGTTTTCTAACTTCAAACCTTTCCGAGTGACAAAATCGACCACCATAGCGAAAAGCGCCGTCAACCAAGCCTCTCTCCTCCCCACGAAGGACGCTAGAGTCGCCTATGAAGCCATATGTGTCCCCAAGAGACTTTTTCCCATGGGCGGACATCGAATAGACCAAAATTCAGACCAGCACATGTCCATTTCCCAGCGTTGGCCCAACACCTGCCACCGCTGCAGCAGTCAGAAAGCGCTGTTGCAAATGACGGTACGAGCAGATATCGTGCTAAAAACTACATTTGTTTGCACAGGGCTGGAGCACTATAGCTTAGGCGTATTCAAATGTATTCAGCATTGGCTCGGTAAACACCGCCGAGACTTTCGTCTTTTGAGAAAGGTTCCGTCCATGCCGCTGGCACTTTGCTGAAACAAACATATTCAAAGTGATCCTTCCATCCCTGCTTAATAACATAGCCATTGATTGAGTGGATAAAGCCATCTAGAAGACGGACTTGGGACGTTTGATCGGTTGCTGCAGGAGCATTATCCGCCGATTTAAGTGCTCGTGTTGTCTTCTTGTATGGAGCTCTCTTCTTGCCCCCAAAGCGTTCTTCGATTGATAGACGTATGGCTTCAACTTCCGGTCGACACTGCAGCATAATCCTGCGAAATATGTTGTTGGCTCTCGCCTCGGTACTTGTCATACACACCAGAGGCTGTCGGATTGCTTCGATGCGTTTGTGAGCCGATTCAAAACCCTCTTCGGAACATCTCCCAAGCATTAGGTTGTTGGTTGCAAAAGCCGATAGGTGGGCACGGAGGACGTGAAGCTTATTAAAAACATTCATTTCTTCTCCGTTTGAGCTTCCATCTTTATCGCTTTTGAATTCCAACCAAAGCTTTGCATATTGTTGAGTAATTGAATCAAATTTGGTTGCATCTTCATCCGACCAGCGGCGCTGAGATTTCATCATGGTGGAAATTTCGTATAGCAACTCGGTCAATCTGCGAAAGGGCACCATTATCTCTTCAACTCTGGACTGACACTGCATATTGTTGGGAAAGAGTTGCTTCATTCTTTTTGAAATGAGCTCTCGACGTTCAAGCACGCGTATTCCATCGCCATTTGACAACTCAAATCCACTATTCTCCACACGAAATGAAACTCGGCCGTCCACTTCATAGGCTTTACGAAAGCAATAGGTTGCAGGACCGACAATTCGACTCTTTGTTTTCTTCGCAACCCCATCTAGAAAATCATTTCCTTTCTCCAAAAACAACTTTGCCGATTCGCATGCTTTGGTTTTCGTCTTGAGCTTTCTTGCAAGTTCACTTCGGTCCGCGCTGATTGAGTTGAGCTGGCTAGTAGTCATTGATAGCCTCTCGGCTGCTTTTGCATCCCGTTGTAGTCGTGTGTCCTCTCTTCGAAGCTTCTCTGCCTCCTTCACTGAAGCAATGCTGAAACGTCTTGCTTCTTCCATGAGAGGTGACAATTGTTCCAACCATGGGAGCTCTCGATCGATTTTACCCAGCAAGTCCAACATTCGCATCGTTAGATGAGTAAGCAGCCCACTAGAGACATGCATACCAGATCCAGAGTTGTGTTCTGGGGGCGTGTAGAGTAAAGGTTGGTGGACGACACTGTGATAGCGGAGTTTCAGCGTCTTTGCTTGGCCTGCAGAGTTTGCTCGCACCCAATCAACTCGACCACCGGCGTCTTCAACGAATCCATCATACAACGTTGGATTTGCATTGTCGCCTTTACGGAGAGCTGGCTGTTGGTTCGATGGCAGAGATAAGAATCGGCTGAACTCTTTCTTTCTCCCAATGCACATCGTACACGGGCACATCACACCTGCCGTTCCCTGCCCCATGACAGCTGTATTGCATTTGATGTCATCTGCTGTTATCCCTCTGATTCGCAGAGATCTGATTCGAACGGAGCTTGTCGTCGTTATCTGCAGCGGTTCTCGAAACGTTGCCTGAAACACATCACGCCCAAAACAGTTGGTCAAAGCAAGCCCCGTATATTCATGAGTTGCTTCATTGCTCGCCTTGCCAACTAGCTGAATGAATTGCTTGTGTCGACTTGGGTTTTCCTCACTGTTCCGCGATTCTTCCTCATTGAAAACCGTAACAAGTCTTGGCAGAGGAGTTTCGTAAGCCTCCAATCGAAGTGTGCTGCTGTCGGGTAGTCGATCGATCCGGAGCGTTGTTGCGCAATCAAGAATACAGCATTGCGCGTCTACTGCAATGCTGCCTTCATTGATTTCCACCACGATCATTTGGAAGTCGCCATTCAACATCTTTTGAAGGAAGTTTTTGGTTGGTTTGCTTGGGTTGAATATTGTCTTTTCGAGGTTGCTGTAGCTTTCTTTTCCGTATTCATAGAATGCGAGAGGGATACAGTATTGAGGAGCGTTTCCTCCACTTCGGTTGGCGACACGCACTAAGCAAAGTGTAATATCACCCCCTCGATCCGTTCCTTGAACGACAGTCAGTTGATTGTGGTGCTTGCAAAAAGCTGCAGACTCTTCGAATTTCCCTGCCATGATTGCGCTTTGTGTCAGCGTCTCAATGACTTTTGCTGGTTCCTTTACCCACGCATGTAAGCACCGCTCATTTCTCTTTTCCCCGCCAATTTCAAGTGACACCATCTCAAAACCTAACTTCAAATCAAACGATTCCATAGCGTAACTTGCGAGCTTTTTCCTGAGCATCGTTGGAAAGAGTTGGTCCCCGAAACTCGACAGTGTCGCTTTGAAGAATCGTGAGAGCCGTTCAAGTCCTCGGACAGTGGTCGGAAGGTATTGCATCATGGCCGCGCACTGCTCAATGCTTAAACGGCATTCGCTATCGTCGGCAAATACATGGAGGGAATGATTTCTTCCAACGATTTTCAGAATCGAGAGCAGCTCGCTTTCGGACACATCCAAATTGTCAAGTAATGTTTCAACCAATTGAGCTTTCCGCTTAATCTTCCTCCCTCGCTCGTCTCCCTTTGTCCATCGTCGACTTTGTTTAATTCGGAGAAGCTTCATGGACGATCCGCTCCGGAATTGCCGAACGGTCAAGATTTTATTCTCATTGGTCCTTGATGTCTGATCAATTGGCACTGCTTTCTTCTGAAAGAGGAGGAAAAGAGCTCGACAAATCTCTTCCTCGCAGTCTCCACTGATGGAGTGGGTTTTTATTTCTGCTTGTACTCTCGATTTCATTTCGGTTTGGGTCGCTTTGCTTTCATGAGTTGGGTCTGTTTGGGTTGCGTCGGATTGCTCCTCTGTCTCCTCGATAAGAGGTGACCTTTCTCCGAAATCAAGCCGTGTGCGCTGCTGGCGACCTGCATCAAATGCGTCTTGCCGACCAAAGAATCTCATAGCGCTCATCACTGTGGGCGTTCTGGGAGATTCCAACCCCAAGCTTTCCATTCCTGACAGCAGATTGGGGGTTGCTTTCATGTCACGTTTTTTGGATTGTCGGGTTGCTGCAAAATCTGGGGAAACAAAGCCGTCTGGCTCGGCTTCTGAGATCAATCTATTCGCTTTCGCTTGTGGAGTCCAGCTCGAGGCGCATTTATTTCGCTTTCTAACTTCACATGGCAGGAGAGAGTCAAGAAAATTGTCGTCGTCTAATGGAACGCCGCAAGCTCTTCGAACCGCCGGCTTTGAAAAGCCCCAAGCTTGACTGAGCAGCGCCATTGGAGATGTGTCCTGCTTTGATTTTTCATCGACTTCAGGCCCAGTGCCAGATAACCCCATGAATATCAACAGAAGAAAGTAGTTTTCACGTTCTTGAATGGCGAATCGAGCTGCTGAATCAGCGTCAAGGAGTGCTCGTCGCAGCCATCCTTTTTCCTTGAATGATTTGTTTCCTCCTTTGATGAATTCAAACAGAGGCGTGTTTCTAGTCTTCCTAGAGCTAATGGTGTCTCGTAGTGCCAGCAACAGGTTGTCTGCAACGCTTGAAGATTGACTCACTGCTACTTGCTCATTGGGGGTAATCAATGCCACTGGGGGTGGTGCTGGTGCTGGTGCTGATGCTGGCTGGACGTCATTGGTCGTATTGATTGCTTCCAAGAAAGGATTTTGCCGCCGTCGAAGCTCCATGGCAGCAACTTCAATCTGCAATCCAAGGATGCAACCAATGTCTTCCTGCAGCTGCATAATGGTCTAAACCATGGCATTGTGACACCCAAGATTTGAACGGACATGAAAAATCTATCTGACTTTGAAGTGAAAGCGTTCGATATTTTGGAAGACTCATTGCATGAGACCTGATGATCAAATCGAGTTTCTCACTTTGTTCCGATCGACCCCTGGTGCCACTCATGACAAAGAGGTGAAAACAGACAAGCATAGTGCATCTGGACCTCATCATTAACAACAACCTTCGGCCAGCAACACATTGTCGCATCCTCATTGATTATCCTCGTCGTCCTCTACTTTTTAGCCTCTCGACACATTTTCTCTTACAGCTACCTGGGAAACTGGAATTGGGGTATCAAATACCACTTATGGAACAGTCGAGTTAGTCAAAGGATTCAAATGACTCAAAAAAGGGCATATTTTAACGCTGTTTTTGGGCTGTCAAGACCCTTTTCATTTTTTTCGGAGCTGAGAGGATTGATCCCTCTTCGTACTGGTACAATCCCTTGGTACGCACTCTGAATTGCATCGCTCAGGCTAGCTAGCTGCTAGTATACATGCGGACGATGCAGCTAGCTTTGGAAGTAAATGTTGCTTTGGTTCCGTCTACAACTGGCTGGATAACAAAAAGATGCTATATCATACGATTAATAAAAGCTATTGGGAAACAGAACAATTGTTGGATGTGGATGGGGCCAAACTATTTAGGTGGCTTGTTGTCGTCGTGCCATCTCCGCTTTTGCCGCCTCAAATTCCATAATGGCAATGTTTGCTTCCACCACAAGCTTGGCGCTATTCACAGCAAGAGCTAGGAGTTTTCCGTTGTCAGAAGTCTTCGACTTTGGTACAATCAAATCAATCTGTTTGATGCTGTCCGGAGTTTGAGCTGCTGCATCTCGATTGAAGCACAGCGTGATCCATCGACCACTGGTCGTCTCGCCCTTTACTTTGTGCGTTTCGGTCGTCCATGAGAAGCGCTTCGTTAGGCGAAGCTCGAATCTTTCAACAGAGCTGCTTAGATGTTCACTGAGCCGCTCGGTAACCTGGCCATAATCTTGCACGATGTTTTCAACCCTGCGAACAGACAACAAGAAACGGTAACTGGCAGTTCCAGCAAATCGATCGAACGTGGCTGATCCTCTGTAGTTGCGTCGTTTGCCATCATACGTCTCCAAGCAAATTGCCACCGTCCGGTCTTCTTCACTCATTTTTTCGAAGTCATCAACTGGGTTGAGAAAAACAAGAGTTTTCCAACTGCAATACGGATCAAAAGAGCCAGTTTGCAGAATTGGTTGATTGTCATTGTCCATGGTTGCCTTCGCTCTCACTTTCGATGAAAGAGAATTGTGGATTGCTTTCGCACGTTACCTCTACCAAACAATCGATTGACCGGCTTCAGACTCTTCCTCGAGGCAGCACGAACCTCTCTTAAAGATTCGTCCAGGCTCGACGGAAGATTCCGAGGAACCCAATGAATGGAGTACCGCCTCTGGCAGGGTACCTCCAGGCGCATTGAATCGGAACGAAAACGCAATCAGCAACGGCACTTTCTCATTTTTCGGATAAGGAAGAAACACCATGGCGAATCCGAATCGACTTGTAAACGACGAAGTGAAGATTGCTTTCTTCTCCAAAGGCGGCAACCCCCGGCCTGTTTCCAATGATACCATGGCCATCATTGTTGACGGCGTTCGTACCGGTATCCAGCGTTGTGTGGATCGAAACAAGGATGTTGACATGTTCTGTTGCTTGCAGGGAGATCGTTACATTCCCAATGGACGTCCAATTCTCTTGTACGACCTGGAGGCAAAGATGGTTTCAGCTTCCAATGGACACCTGCGATTCAAGACCAACAGAGGTGGCCACTATCTTCACGTTATTATCAGTGGTGGTGCCAACAGCTTTGAAATCGGATGTGATGATGCTCGAGTTCCTGCTGCTGCTTCCAAACCAACTGCCAGTGCCAGTGCCAAACCAGCTGCTGCTTCCAAACCAACTGCCAAACAGGCCGATCGAAAACCCAGCAAGATGCGCCCCGTGCCTGAAGCTTCAAGTGAGAGCGAAGACGAGCGCCAACCAATCCAGCGTCGCCGCAAGGACCGACGTCAACCGCCAAAAGCGCCAAAGGACCTTCTAGACGACTCTTCAGACTCGTCCGAAGCAGTAGAAATGAAGCATTTCTCCCAGCTGACTGGCCGCAACAGTCGCAATCGTTGAAATCAGACAAGAGCTCTATGGAAAGCCCTCGTCATTGTGCTGTCATCGATATTATCGTCATGGCAGCTACTATTCAGTGACCAGCAAACAACCTAAACTCAGCAAGGAAGTATTAACAGCGTCTTAGTAGTGCAGTGCATGGCCTTGGAGAATAGCAACAAGGGGAAACTTACAGGACGAGGGAGGATCGGCAGTGGTGACTATTTATTTTAAAGTTTCATGACAAAATATTCCTTTTCCTCTTCTGTGAGAGTTGCACTAGTGTCATTCTTTCCTACCAGCCGAGTCTTGAGATACATGGTAGTGACATGCACACGGTCCTCAGCATAAGCGGGAGACTTTTTGGATAGGCAATGGTGAACCTGGGGATTGAATAGGATGACATCTCCAGGGCGCAAAGCAACTGCAAATCCACAAGAAGGAAAGCAAAAATACTGCACTATTTCCTCATCTCCAAAGCGGCCACTAACATTGAGTTGGTGGGCCGACAAAAAGAAATCATCATCAACATGAGCCGGAGCTGAGTAATCCACTGAGGACGCAAGGGCACCACCAAATGTGCAACCCTCAATGGTACACAAATCAACCAGTTCAGCAGCTTTTTTGATGGCACGTAATTGAGTTGAGGGAGTGAGATTTGCTGCCAAGTGTTCAAGGCGAAGTGCCCAAGCCTCCAAAATTTTAGCTTCTTCAGGACATTTCTCCTGGAGTTTGGACCTTGAAAGACCTTTCCTTTGCAAAGCTTTGGTACCAAAGATGGCATATTTTGCATTGCATGTGCTCTCTCCAGTCTGGCCCTCCCCACGTTTGTTGGATCTTTCTATTTTTTGAAGACGTTCCAGGGCAGCCGTAACAACTTCAGTATTGTTACCATTCATTGCCACATTCCTCAATTTTCTTGGAACGACAATGCACGAAAAGACACCATTGGCCCTATCCAACCAGTGAACAAAGCCATCCTTGGCATCAACCAAAAGTAGCTCCTCTGGGGCAAATGAGTACTGGGCTCCAGAAAATTCAGCGGGATCCACTGTGATAAGGCCATCCCAACCAGGATTTGGCAAGCTCAGTAGTTTCTTGAGCTTTTTGTGTGTTCTTCTCTTTTGATTCTTTGAGAGAGGGCGCCCCAATTCAACCTTCATAGCATTAGCAGCAGCCACAGTGCGCTTTGATGATTCTGATTTCTTGGTAGGAATATGGGTAACACCAAACCCAAAGACTCGGCCCTCACGGCTTTTGGAGTACTTCACCATAATGCTAGCTGTATGTTGTTGCCAAGAGTCTTGCCCCTACCGAAGTAGGCACTGACTTCAAGGCGGAACAAATTGCGCAGCAATCAAGGGAGTAGTCAAAAACAGGAGCAGCTGGCGACAACAGATCCGTAGCGGTAGTGGTAGACGGTGGATTGGTAGACCATTGGTAGACAATGTCGTCGGTAGAAGGACGGCTTCTCTCCAAACCTCTTTTTCGATATTGTAGTGCAATGCAGAAATAAAATCCTTTGTGTCAGGCAAGCCAAGGCAGCAAATGGATTTTCTGTTGGGACGCATGTCAATCCAATGCCAGGATGCTGTGATAGTAAAGAGCATTGGTGGTTGGAAGTAGTAGTACGGTGCCTCGTCATAGTAAAGCCTCGTCATAGTAAAGAGCATTGGTGGTTGGAAGTAGTAGTACGGTGCCTCGACGCCTCGACGCCTCGGAAGCAAGGAATAAATAAATAAATAGAAATAAATAAATAAATAGAAATAAATAAATAAATAGAAATAAATAAATAAATAAATAAATAGAAAATCAATGAGCGCACCTCTCCGGCTGGGCTGGCGCTTATTGTACATCATGAACCGATGTGCGGTACGGTATGTACCTGGTAGCGGTAGCGGTGCGGTGTGCGGTGTGCGGTGTGGTATTTAGGAAAGAGGGGTGAATCCCACCCCCAAGTTCCCCCAAAGTACTCGGGATCCATAATCTTGAGTCCGTACCGCGACTGGAATGTACAGCTACCCCGTACAGTGTTGCGCAGGATTGTCCATTATTAGCTCTGCAACCTAAAAAAAAGAACTCGAAAATCGCTCCAAGCCAAAATCGCTCCATTGCACACAATGGATAGATTGGCTGGGCCATACTCATCAAGCCGTACCAACCAAGCCAGGGATCTTTTCTCTACTACCATAGAAGGCATGTACAACTGAAGGTTGGAGCAGCAGAGTCTGTCTACAGTCGAAAACCCCTTGAAAAAAACGACCCCCATTGACGTGTTGAATTTTGCAAACGTAGTATCACCAGCACCCCTTCGTACTACAGTTCTGTAAATGCTCAATCGAAAATTAGTCGTGGCCCAACCCGCAATCCGCTACGGGCTACGGTACCGTACCGGTAGAGCGGAAAGCTGCTGCAGGACCGATCACGGAAACTATGAGTGCAAACGGTACGACTGTACGATGCTTCCATACATGCATACATACATACATACATACATACATACATACATACATACATACATACATACATACATACATACATACATACATACATACATACATACATACATACATACATACATACATACATACATACATACATACATACATACATACATACATACATACATACATACATACATACATACATGTACAGCATAACAGTAATCCCGTAGCACGGTGCGGTACCGTACCTGGTACCGGTAGCGCCAACCAACCGAGGCAACCTGTTCGGCCTGCACGGTACATGTAGTACAACCTACCGATCATGGTTCCGTAGATTATACCGCACCGATACGACGACTTCTACGACCGTACCGGTCGCGGGAGATCTACCGTACACGTAATGGCTTTAAAATCGATTGTGCAGCGCAAGCTTCTGGGACAATTAAGCCAAGCAACCACATAAAAAGTTTCATTGGAGCCTTCAAGAAGAAGAAAAGTGAATTGGAGAGAATGATGAATGGTAATCATAGTCATGCTATGAATGACGACCGAAAGGAGGATAGGCATCACTTTCGTTGGCTGTGGATGGGGCTTTGGGTGCGTTGGCAGGCTGCTAAATGGAAGCTGCCCTTGCCACGGTTGATGGCTACTATTGGGTTGTCAGCATTGGCTTTGCCTGTGTTGTTTCAATCCATTCGTTGGTCGGGAATCGCGAACAATCGTGTCTTCTTGGAAGCGAAGGCAACTGATGATTCTCCTGCCATCACCAAACCACATCATCGGGCATTCCTTCTTCCAGACAATTACAACAAACATCGCAACAGCAACGATGAAGAGTACTCGATCCAACTATACACGTACTTGGATTCGCCACCGGTCGAACGTTTTAGGCTTTCTGGCCTCGATGAGGATGAATTCGACGGGTCCCAAGATCTGCAATTGCATCGAAACTTTCGAAACTATTTCTATTCGGCACTACGCAATGGCTATCAACCACCTATCGTCATCCGAGCAGACAAAGGGAAGAGTGCCTGGAAGGATGGGCAACCCGAGTACCTGCGATGGCAGGTTCGCATGGAACAATACCTACAGGTGGCACAACAAACTCAGCGCAATGGAGGTAACAAGTCTCTCCTATTGTTTTCAGACTCATTGGATGTCATTGTCATCTCACCTGTACAGCAAATCTCCAGTGCATTCCAAAGGATTGCCCCACAAGCTGACAAGGCTATCCTTTGTGCTGAACCTCTCTGTGACACAGTATATTGTAAAACAGATATGGCAGCCAAACAGTTTGTTGATCAACAAGCACCATCCCGGAAAAACAAATTCCGATACCTCAACGCCGGTGTGATGCTCGGGACACCCCAAACACTTGTGTCTATCTTTGAATGGGTCTTGCCTTACATGAAAGAACACAAGGTTGATGATCAGGCAGCCCTGGTCAAATTTTGGCAGCAAAACCCTAACAAGATCACACTTGACTATGAGTCAGAGATTTGTGGAATCATTTCTCCAGTGCCACAATTCTTGGCACGAGACTGGGATTACAGTCCTCTCATAGAGGGCTTGTTGGACAGCAGTGCTGATCATGCTAAGCGGGCTCATGAATACGTACTCCATGGTTTTGCGACAAAACAAGATCAAGGCTTCATGCGCAAGTATTCCCACAAGCGACCAGGCCTCTTGCATTTTGCGGGGGTCAAATACCTTGATGAAACTTACAATAAACTTGCCAGGTACAATCGTTGTCAGCAACACTTACTCCATGTGTACAATGTGCTGGGGAGAGTGCTCTTGATGACATCCCAAGAGGATAAGGAAGTGCCCAGGGACAGTCGCAACAGCATCAGTACAAAATCTTTCCCACAAGATCATCAGCCGAAACCAGCAAAGCGCCGTGTGGTTGTTTCTTTGACAACGACTCCTCCCCGCATCAAAGGCATCTTGCCGGTATTGCTCAGTCTCAAACGGCAATCTAGGGTACCGGACGAGATATATTTCAATGTTCCGCAGTATTCCAAGCGATTCAATCAAGAGTATGTCGTTCCAAAAGCTCTTCAAAAGCTCTCGTGGTTGACCCTCAACATGGACTGCGAAGATTATGGTCCCGCGACCAAACTCATACCAACGCTAGAAAAAGAAACGGATCCAGACACTCTGATAATCAATGTGGATGATGAATACATCTATCCGCCAGATTTAGTCGAATCACTTTTGCACCAACACCTTAAGGCACCCTACATTGCCTTTGCCAACGCAGGGCAAATGATTGACACAGATCACTTCTCGTCCACGGGTGTTCGAGTGCGTTCTGCATGCCGTTATGACACGAGTCAATGGAAGAAGCAGTTGGCCGCTGTGGACATACTGGAAGCATTTCAAGGAGCAATCTATCGAAGGGATTTTTTCTCACTCGAATCAATCAAGAACATTCCCAGCAATTGCTTGACAACGGACGATATTTGGATTTCGGCAGAGCTTGCCAAGAAGGGGATAACACGTGTTCGAATTCCGTACACACAGATTGACACATTGGCAGAGGATGCCATGAGTGTTGACAAACTAGCACCACTCCGAGCTAACAATGTGTTTGGAGAATCCAAGAATGACAGGTGTGCTTTGGAACTCCTTCCACATTTCCAAAAATCGTGGCGCCAAACAATGCAGCGCATTCCCATGGGCTTTGAGTGGCTTGATTATCCCAAAGCGATGCCCCAAAATGCATACTATGATGAAGAGTATAATGTCGAACGCGTCACTTCTCCCTGTTCCATGCCAATTGAATGATGCTGCAGAATCGACAGTGCGCTGCAAACAGTTTGATCTCCTTCATGTTATTAACAGACCGATCATGACACAAAAGCCAGACGACAAGAAACCACCATAAACAATAAAAGATGAGCCACAGGCCACCAAAAATCATTAATGTTGCATTCTTTAAACCTTGTGCAAGTGATAGTTTCCAGAACCCATAGATTCCACGCTCCGTGAGTGGTTGTCGCACTCGGAGCCTATCTTTTGTCTTTCCTCTTCGTATGCAACAGCTATGCAACACATCAAGACTTCCAGGCCAGGTATCATCGGTACGTGTATGGATGTAAGTGGTTTCATGTCTAATGGTTCGATGGTCACCAGGCACCTTGTTCTGGTGGATTTGAGAGCTGTGCATTTGATTTGGATGAAAGGTAAGCAAGTGCAGGCTGCAAAGTCCTACCACTGGGACCATCCTTGCCCAATGACCGATTGAGTACTTGGGGTATCAATCGAAAGGCCTTGGCAGTTAGCACCTAGACTAAGTTCTTGCGTTGTCATTGCTGGCAGGGTTTGCTGTCCTGATTTTCAAGGAGATGCTTCCCCATGCACCGGCTCTGAGTATCTTTCCCCCTTCTTGAAAGGTTCCTTCTTCATGCCGGGGTCAGCTTCCTGGGAATACTGCGCATTGCATTCATTGGCAATACATGTGCAAGATTGATAAGATTCTTCTTCTCTCAGCTGGCGTTCTGGGAGGTGCCCTGCTGATGCTTAGCTTCCTTGCTGACGAACCTTCCAAGGTACCAATGTTTTGGACTTCTTTGTCCAATTAATCATGATCACGCAATCATGAACAGGCTTCCAAACAGAATCAAATCAACTTTTTGTTTGGTGCACAAGAACTGGAACTGCTCCACCTGTCTAGCTACTTGATAACAGAACTCTATTTTTTGGCGCCTCTGAGTACAACTTGTCACCGTGGAACCTAAACCAAAAACCCCGGAGGTCTCTAGTAGCTCGGGAGGGCCCGACCAAGCTAGGTTAATCCCATCCTAGCTAGCTTATTCAATCCATTTGGTTGTTGTGGCAAGTGCTGCTGGCCTCAACACAAAAGAAATCTCGCTCGTACCCATTTTCACTGAAGGTACCGGTATACCGAGCAGCAGTAGCAAGCCATGGCAGAAACTAACAGAGACAGAGGAGTTGAGGAAGAGCAGGTTGCAGACGAGCCACCCTGCAAAAAGATTCGCAGCAGTGATCCTGACATCAAAATAACACTCAAGTACATGGACGACGACAACGACCCAGCTACCAAGGAATATTCAATGTATGGACCCGTTCTGTCCCACCTGAGCAAGTTCATAGATACCTCATTGTCCGTGGGGATGCAGGAAAAGGCAACCAACGAAATCATTTTTCACGATGTGCATCCAGATCTTTTTGAAAAGGCTCTGAACTTCTTACAAGAACCCTGTGCCGCTCGGTCCATGACAGCAAAAGACGCGTCCGAACTTATAGAGTTCTATGACAAGTACGACTTTGAGGGAGGACTCAAACTCTGCGATGAGGTTATTGCGGCATACCTGGAACATCAAAATGCACTTGGCCTGATGACACCCCCCGATGACCTTGGTATCCTGGTGGATGCAGCCGCATTGGCATACCAAATCAATCTACCAAAAGCAAAAGATGTGGCGATCAGTTACCTCAGGACTCGAATGCGTGATGCAGAAAAAACCTATGGGAGGATGATGTTTGGGAGTGAACACATCAAGAAACTGCAGCCCATGTTTGTGGACCGAATTTTTAGAGAGTATTTCCTCGAAGATTTGACCAAGGAAGAGGTCAGTTCTCCCCTATTCCCGAAGTATTTTCTAACGTGTACTGAATTGAATCACTACGAGACCCAACCTTTCGAGATCCTCCATTTGTCTGGAACCAAGCATGCCGCGTTTAATGGAGCGTACCAAAGAGATGAGTTTTCTCAGTATCCATATACCAAAGTGGAAACAGTCTACTGGAATGGCCAACTTAAGTTTGTAAACGTCGACAAGGTAGCAGACTGCACGTGGGCGATCCTGGCCGGAAATGTCGAAGGCGACCTTCAATCCCAGGAAGTGTTGTGGAAATGTCCGTATTCCAACAGGTTTCGAGCCCCCCCTATTGGGCCTTGGATTGCAGTTGATCCGACGGTCCAGGAAGCAGGGTCGCCCAACATCTGTTTTTCATAGGGTTGGCATGCAGCGCCCTTCCCATCTATTCTGATGCTTACCATTTCAAAGACTTCTCCGTCTGACGTTGCTGTCTCTTCAAGATTTACTCTCGTGTAGCCCTGTTGCGATTGAGCAGCCTTCGAAAGGTGCGCCTCAACGCCGTTGCCACCAAAAAGAATGTCTCGACCAACTTGAACCATTGCGTTCCGTTGAGGTCGTTCCTAATTGCATGCAGAGATCTGTTGTTTATATTATTTAATTCATTGTCTAACTATGGCTACGTGCAGGACTGTATTGCATCCCTTAGCCGTCATCGTCGAAGCTGGATGGAGATAGGCCACTCTTAGTAAGAAACAATGTCGTTGCTTTGTTTCGGGCGGAACAGTTTGTGGAGGGAAACTCGATGGATTAGGGCGAGAGAGATGCTAATAAAAAATAGCCTCATTTACGATTTTTGGCCCGTGCGATCTGTGGAACCTCGTCGGACATTCTTGGCAATCGTCGCTTTGATTTCATCGGGGGTTGCCGACGAATGCCTTCTGCTGACGGCTCCTGGTTTCTCTGGCTTCTTGGCGGACGTGGCCCAGTCGGGTTTCTCCCATTGATACTTGTCTTTGGCTTTCTGATTGTCGGTGATCCCCGTCGACAAGTACTCTCCCTTTTTCATCTTTTCCCCCGACGTCGAATTTTTCAAATTCTTTTTCTTGGTCCAGTCAGGTTTTGTCCAGGCATACTTCTCCTTGGCTTCTTCATCTTCGGTGATATGGGTGATGCCCTTACTGAGATATTCACCATTCTTGAGCTTTTCTCCGTCTTCCGTTTCCTTGACCAATACCTTCTTGGTAGCCCAATCTGGCTTTTCCCAAGCAAACTTTTCCTTGACTTCCTCATCCTCTACAATGTGGGTGATACCCTTACTAAGAGATTCACCATTCTTGAGCTTTTCTCCATCTTCCGTTTCCTTGACCAATACCTTCTTGGTAGCCCAATCAGGCTTTTCCCACGCAAACTTTGCCTGGGCGTCGGGATCCGAAGCGATGTGTGTGATTTTGCGAGCCAAGTTGTCTCCTTTCTTGATTGACTCTCCCGTGTCGGTTCGCTTCAAGACTTCGGACTTTTTGGTCCAATCGGGCTTTCCAAAAGATCGCAGCAACTTGGCGTCCATCATATCGTTCTTGGCTCGATTGATCATTGTGATAGGCTTGGCCAAGTTGGCACCCTTGCGTACCAATCGTCCCTTCTTTGTTTGTTTGAGCTTGTTCTCCTTGGTCCAGTCGGGCTTTTCCCATTCGTACTTGCTGCCATCCATTTCGCCATCGTCAGGTTCCTCAGGTCGATGGAGGGGCGGCTGGGGTTTAGGCTGCTTTGAATCAGAAGGCCTCTTCTTCTTTGTCTTCTTTTTGCCGTCCGAAGATCTCTTTTCGACGGAAGATCTCTTTTCAACAGAAGATCTCTTACCTTGCGTATCTGCCTTGTTCTTCTTGGTTTTCTCCTTGGATGGTGATGCAGGAGCGGCAGGCTTTGTTTCTTTCACAGCTGGTTGTTTGGGGGCTGGTTCTGGCTTTTCTTCTTGGGCTGCAGGTTTTGGCTTTTCCGGAACAGCTGGTTTTGGCGTTTCTTTTTCTTTTACTGGCGCCGGTTTTGGCTTTTCTTCTACTACAACTGCTGGCTTTGGTTTTTCTTCCACTGCGACAGGAGGTTGTTGTACTGGCGTTGGTTTTTCTTCCACAGCTGGTGGCTGCTCCTGTGGTTTTTGTGGAGGCTCTGCTGGTTGTTGCGGCTGCTCAGGTGTGCCATCTGGCTTGAGTTTGGGCGGGGCCATTAGTTTCATGTCTTCTGTGGCTAGCAGTATCGATCCCGATCTCGACGTTCTCCTGGGGGTAGATCGCTTGGGACTTGGCTTGACCATACCTTCTCTGGGAGACTTGGGCGATGCGACTGCTGGTGACGGTGGTGGTGGCACTGGGACGACTGGCGAAGCTTGGATTATCTGTGTCTTGGCAGCTGGAGCAGGACTACGTGCAGCTTGCTGCTCTGCCTTGACAGCTTCCAAGGTAGCTGCTTCCAGCTGAATTCCAGGTCCTTCGGGTAGCTGATATTCCTCTTCTGCCTCATCACCTGACACGGTCTCCTCGTCATAGCTACTACTACTGCTACTACTGGAGCCACTACTACTGCTGTCATCATCACTGCTGGATACCGTGGATTCCGACCATTCTTCTCGCTCTTGCCTGGCTTCCTTGAGCATATCATCCGCCGTGTTGGATCGATAGGTTAATTGCTTTTCTTCCACAACGTCATCCCAGGTATAACCCATCATTTCATTCTCATCTTCCATCTCGTACCAAGGAATGATTGCATCTTCCTCTTCCCACCAATAGATCGTGTCTGGATCTTCCTTGTCGCTTGGATCTGCCCTGTAATCTGGCTGCTTAATGGCCAGGACGGGAAGGTTTTCGTCGAATTCTTGGATATACCGCATGGTACTGGCAAAGACCAAGCTACGCTTCTTGCCCACGACGTGACCTTCCTTTTTCAGGATACCCTTGATTGCCTTCTTGACCGCCATTTTGGTTGATTATCGGTATCCAATATTATCATGCATGCGATCTGATGAGAGGAGGAGAGTGAGATCTTGTTCAACGCCCCACAAAAATAACGTGATCTTCTTTCTTTCGAAGACTGTAATGTCATGCAGGCAGTCGCCAAGCAGGAAGCAAGAGAGATACAGGCATGAGACAGTCAGCTTTCTCGAACACAACAACATGTTGCAACCAACAAGATCGCGGGAGCTCACAACATCACGGTGACTGCTTGGATTAGTGACTGAGAAAAAGGGCATAGTTTAGAAGCATTTATAGTACAAAGATCCTAACAGTGACCTTACAACTTGGAAAGAGGCAATATTTAAAACGGGACATTCTATTACAATCCACTCCAAAATGCCACACTCACAGCTTTTTTTCTGGAGTGACATGTTTAAATCTCGGATTCATCAACCCTCTAATTCCATCACTTTCTTGGAAATGCTTTCCATTCCACGATCAACAAAGTGGGATCCACTTCAGACGTCGTGGAAATAACTGGGATCGATCCCATGAAGATTTCAGAGCTGCAGAAGCTGTCTAGTTACCTGGTAGTGCGTTGGTAAAGGAAGGGAGCTGCAAATTTTACAAAGAGGTCGAGACAGAGTAGGAGCCGACGAAGTATCCAATACGCTACCGTACCTTGAACTCTGGGAAGGCCGTGTTCTACTAGCTAGGATTCAGGAGCAGGATGTTACGACGTGTGCCGGAGACACCCACAAACAACGCCCTGCCGAGGCCTCGGTTGAAAAAATAATAATGGCACTTTCATACATGTACTACGAGAGAACCGAGGGGGTTATTAGGGACAGGTCTTGGCTGGAGTTGCAACCGATCCAGGGCTCCCAAACTTCCCTGTTCTGCTCATACGGTACTGTAGCATCAAACCTTCAGGAAAGTGAACCACGTCAAAGTGTCTTTTGCCATAGCTAGATCTAGCTATGGAAGAAAAATTTCCTATGGCTATTGGATGTAAATAGGTTGCTATATAGAAATCACTGTACAAAAAAAAGCCACCGGAAGCTTCCATGTCTAGTTGTGAAGCCTTGTACGGATGCTATGTTGTTTGTGTATTGTCCCTCCATCAAGGTTTTGTATAGAGGACCCTCGCCTGGCATGGTTTCAGACTTTTGCTCCTGTTGGGCGCCAACACATTCATTCAATCATGCGTCCAACCACCCAACCAGATATTCTATGAAACTGTGGATTGTAGTATCATGTATGACATGCCTCCTTTCATCCAAATATTGTAGCCTGGCTAGCTTTCCATCTATAGAGTTTTTGTTCCCCTTCTTTAGGCTTGATCAGTAAAGGAATCTTGCTGCCGTGCTCGCTTGGCATCAACGGGTGAGACTACCACTTCCTTTTTGAATTGGAACATTAGGAGCGAAAAGAAACTCAGGACGGCAAAGAGTGTAAAGGCCGCACTGGAAAAGATGAGGTTGGTAGTGGGATTTCCCATGCTGTAGCTATTGAAGGTTGCAAAAAGAATGAGATTTTGGTTGGCAAGGACAATCACAATTCCCATGAGGAATCCAATGGAAAAGGACGTGGGAAATCGTTTCAACACAAATGTCCCCAGAATGGCCAATAGGACATGAATGATGCCAGTCCACACGGCGGCAATCACTAGAGCTTCCGAGCCACCCATTTTTTGTAATTGGACCACTATAAACAACAAACAAAAAGGAGACATTATAGATTCGTTAGAAGACAAAGAAACAGTGTGGTGACTGGACGGCCACCACAGAAAAACACCCAAAATAGGTAGAATTCTCTTCAATCCGCCATAACGAAAAACTTACTCTCAATGATGGCAACCACAAAATAGAGGACTACAAAGAGCAGACTGATTCCCCATGCTCGATGAACGGAACCCTTGGGATCCGAGGCACAGGACCCAAACATTCGACCCAGTATGCGCTTCACCACAGACATTCCTCTGGGTACCGGCCCATCGGCGGATATATCGTCATCCACGGTATCATGGGCGCTCATCGTGTCTTCTTCTTTACTTCACTGGTATAATAGAGAGAGTGCTGTGATGGATTGGATTGTGCCTATCTATTATTTACAACAACAATAATAACGACAACACCAACAACCAATCTACTCCTTCATGGTCGGTGCAGATGACAATCTTCAAAATGGCCTGCAGCTTTGGCTCTTCCGATTTGATTTCGGCGCTCAGAGGAACACCGCCCACCCTTTCGATCCGATGCGTCAGTACTAAAGCTACGTACAAGCCGGCCGAGCGCAATTTCAAAAAATGAACGGAAACAATACACCCTTATCCCTATTTCTTTCGCTAACGAATACATGTTTCGCACTAGGGTGCGGGTTCCCATCGGCTAGCACTGTCAATGGCTCCCAAGATCAAAGGTCTATCATCTAGTCTAATTGGTTACTAGCTAGCTACTAGATATTCCTAGCTAGCTAGATATTCGGTTCAATGAAACAGAAGTTGGATCAGGTGATGCCACAGTACAGTATTTCCTTGGCAAGTTGCAGGTTCCTTAGAAGAGGGACAAGTGAGATGCATAGTCACTCCTTCCTATTCCTTCCATCCATTCAGCATGTTTGCAGCATTCCATGGTTCAATTAGTAACCTTTAGACTGCTTCTGGAAGCATTATCTATCTGTAGACCGGAACATCAAGTATCACTTTTGCTGATGCTACCTTACCGGTACCACCTATGCATACCCTCCGAGAACACCCTTTGCTACCCATGTCGACTGGCCAGCCAGCTGGCTTGTTCCTATCAAACTGTGGATTGAAGATTCAAACGGAGTGAGTCGAGTCACGATGGGACCGGCTATCTTGGAGGGAAACATTCAAATTCGTCTCTTCACGACCCGCCTGCACGATCATCACTCCGTCACAAGGATGAGAGTGAAGCGTTGAGCCTCTTCCACTTAGTAACGTCCATAACACCCCATGCTTTGGCGCCTCACAAAATGAACCAGAAATTTCAGTTCTCGTGCGATGGTGGGTATCTTGTTGGAGTGAGTCGGCCAAATTTGGGTATCTCTCTCACGAGTTACTTTTATATAAATGCGTGATGAGTGAGTCCCTATAAATTCCCAAAAAGAGACAAAGGTAACTGACGAAACCTTTCCTTCATTCATTCTAAAGATAGGTTCGCTGCAGGTCTGTCACCAACAGCCCTTTTCCCTCCAACCCCTCCACCGAGATTCAGTAGTAGCAGATAGACAGACAGACAAGATCAATGTCTCCCATTGATTTTCCAGACTTGTTGGAAAAGAGGGGTGATAATAATAAGATGACGGAAGAACGGGGACGCAGTGGTGGCCGCTTGATTGGCAATTTGCGAAGTCGTTCTCGCAGCCGTCGTTCCAAGAGCGCCCAACGTCGTGCCGCGTCTCAGCCACCCAAGAAGGTTCACAAAGAAGACGACGACGACGCTGCCAAGCTGAAGAAACGCCGTTCCCTCTCTCGTTCGGCGTCTCGTCGGGAGAATAAGCCGTCGGACTTTGTGGAACTGACCAAAAAGGCAGCGTCTCCCTCCAAGCGTCGACCGACCAAAACGACTAGTAGTGGCAGTGGTAATGCCAAGACGACCAAGTCGTCGTCGAGTAGCAACAAGAAGGAATGGAGTGCGGATATCATTAACCTTGTGGATCGTGATGTGGAGGATGTGATCTTGAGTGATATTATCCTGACGGACAAGAACAACAAGAAGAAGAATACCGCTGGTAGCAGTAAATCCAAGTCACTGGAAAAGAATACGAAGCCCTCATCTACAGTCAAGAACAATAGTACCAACACTTCCAACAACAAGAATGAGGAGAACAAAAAGTCTTCTCTCTCCAAAACTACTAGTAGCTCCACAGCAGCAGCAGCAGTCAGCAAACCCAGCTCCACAACCGCAGTCAGCAACAAACCTCGCAAGACCAATAGTACCGGTAGCAGCAACAGCAATAACAACACCATGGACAAGTACTCTGGTTCCAACCACGGTTCACCCAAGACGGTCAATCGATTTCCCTCGGATACCTATTCCGACTATGAAACGTCGGAAGATGAATCCTCGGACGACGAAGAAGACGACGATGAATCGAAATCGGTCGATGCCAAGGACCTCTTGGCACAAGTCAATGCCCGCATGGAACAGCAACGACTCATGGAAGAAGTCAAGGAATTGCGTCGCGTCGTGGAAAAGAAGGACGCCGAGATTGAACAATTGACGGGACAATTGCGCATGGCCATTTCCACAAAGTGCGATCTGGTCATTGCGCATACGGAATTGGAACGATTGCACGAAATGGATTTGAAAGCACGCGATTCCTATGCCGGTGAAATGAAACGATCCAATCTGCAACTCATGGAAGTTCGAGCGGAAGTGGAAAAGGAATTCATGAATGAGCTCACACAGTTGGCACGAAAGGTGGAAGAATCGGATCGACGTCGCAAAGAAGATGTCCAGGAGAAGGACAATATTATTGGACTGTTGGAAGATAAGATCAAGCGGATGGAACGGAATGCGTTACAGGGAAGCTCGGCTCGACCAGACACGGACAAAGTGCGGTTCTACAAGAAAAAGCTGGGGGTGTATGATCAGTAGCCGCAAGGTTTCAAACCGCAACAGACAGATTTATGATCGATATACAGTAATGCAACAAATGAATGAATAGTGCCTCTGACAAGCAAGCAAGCAAGCAAGCAACAACAAGACACAATCGGTAGGCAGTTTGATACGTTGCATCAATTGCAAACAATAACCAGAATCAGTCCGGTGGAATGATAATATGTGACAATTAGTTAGTTTGATGGAAGCAAGAGAGGAAGGCAGAAAGAAAAAGTGACATCCAGAGTGGCAGCCAGTCAAAGAGTGAGCTCAGGAAACAGAACTAGAACACCAATAGTATTATTAGCATTAGGTTGAAAGTCATTGGAGTCGTTGTTTGGGCTTGCGTTTTGTAGTGTTGGTGTGTATAGGAATGCTTCATTGTCTGCGGCAGTGCTGTGTGGTAGCTTCAGACCGTTGTCTCTGGCACTTTCCCATGGTGCCCAGTCAGACTACTAGCTTTCCATCTGCAGTGTCCGACGGCTAATTGCTCACTTTGGGCTTTCTAAGTTCAGATTTGTGATTTCAAAAACTATGGGTATCACGTTCCCAGCTCAAGCAGCAGGATAGTCACGCTGATGGGGCCCATTGTACTTCCTCTGGCGCTTGCCTGTAGTTGATGCGCCGTGCCTTGCTAGCTCGTACGGTATTAATAGCTTCTAGCTAGCTTGCTTGCTAAAATACATCTACTGTACCGGTAGCATCGGGTTGGGGACAACCCCTTCACTGTGGATGGAGTGGTTGCCGCAACACTCCCACGGCATGCCAGCGCGTTTATTAATGAACTTTCACGAATGACTTCCGTAACCTCCACCTTAAAAAGAGAAGCCTCTTTGCAGAATTCAACGGCTTTTGGTGATCTCTCGACAGCAGCAGAACCAGCGATCTCGGGGAAGCAGGATCCATTGTTGTTGATCAGGAAATGGTGACAATTGGTGAGTATCGATAGCTGTTGCGGCGCTGTTGATTATCGTGGGTACGAATGCTGCATCTGTTGTCTCTCTCTGCTTGATCTCACACGCGTTATCTGTCCTTGTCGTTGGTGTATACAATAGGAACCTAATTCGAACGGTAGCGGTACGGTAGAAACATGGAAGGCGACGGCGCGACGGCGGAAGGCGGGGGTAGCGACAAGCGATTGTTCGTGGGAAACATTGCTTGGGAGGTTACCTCGCAAGATCTCAAAGAGCTCATGATGACGACTGGATTCGAGGTGACAAAGGCGGATGTCATGACGACCTATGGAGGAAGGTCGAAAGGATACGGTATTGTGGAATTTGCCACGGCCGAAGGAGCCGCAAAAGCCAAGTCGACTCTGAACGACTCGGATTTGAACGGCAGGCCCATCTTCATTCGAGAAGATCGTGGAGTGAGCACCAAGCCCCGTGAAGGAGGCGGCGGCGGCCGTGGAGGAGGTCGCGGCGGTGGTCGTGGTTGGTCTGGAGGAAGAGGACGCGGTCGTGACGGAGATCGCGGCGGAGGAGACCCTGCTATTACCAGTGGAGTCCAGTTGTTCGTGGGCAACATGTCCTTTGAGACCACGGAGCAGGAGCTTCGCGACCATTTTGGTCAGTGCGGAACCATTGAAAAGGCGAACATTGTGACGAATGCCAACGGCCGCTCTAGGGGCTTTGGTATTGTTCGTTTCGCGGAGGAGAGCCAGGCTGCGGACGCCATTAGCAAACTCAACGAGGGCGAATTGAAGGGACGAAACTTGCAGGTCCGTTATGACAGCAGGGCGCCTCGTTAGGCATTCCCCATATCTGTATGGTTTATGTATTTTATGTAGTTGTTGTAACCACTGTGAAAGAAGAAGAGTAATGATGCTGTACCCATTAAGCATGTACTTAATCTATACTTACTAGTAGCACCATGATAATATCAAATAATCTACGCCATACCCATCTTCCTTTCTGATTTTCATAAACAAAATATGCATGTTGCTTTAAAAGGATTGAATATTATGAGACTTGCTTCAAGCCTTGGCGCATTCCGCACCGCACATTAGCAAATCCACACCATTCTTCGAACATACATGTGCGTAGCTGTTGCTAGATAGTTTTCATTTTCTGTTGGTGCTCTGGCGTAGAACATGGGTTGTGTTGCACCGAACTAATAATAAATGGATTAAAAAGATAGCTCTTGCAGTTGCAAATGATGTTACATGATTGATCTCGGTTCGAGACGTTTTGGACCAGCGCCATGATGTCGGGGCAATCATGCCAAAATTTGCTTTTCCGTTCGGGATGCCATGCCCAGTGTACTATTGCAGTTGGAAGTTGTCCACTAAAATGACAATTGCACCGCTATTCCAAGCCGGGCATACGAAGGTGGTCGAGAGGATGAACGAAAGCTTTTTGGTTGGTGACCCTACCCTGCAAAGGACGTTCCGAGAATTAGCAATTTGAATCTATAGTAGTTACGTAGCTAGCTTATTACGTTCCGTACCATTCATCAGCTATACTAGCTTCTGTTCGGTACTACGAAGCTATCTATCTATCTATCTATCTATTTTGCGAATTACTTTTTCACCGTGTACGACGCCCCAGGATGCAACGATTCTCGATTGGGAAAATCGGCCGAGTAGGATCTCCAATAGGGAAATGCTCCTTCTTTTTGCGTGAGCTCCCAGGCTTGATCGAACGCCTCGAGCAATTGATCGGATAGAGGACCCTGTGTTGCCGCCGCCGTACAACTGTCCAAATTTTCGTCCAATTGCGTCAAAGACGAGGCTCCGATCAAAATGCCATCGATTTGGGGTCGTAATTGGGAATGGCGCAAGAGCCATCGATAGGATGCTTCGACCATGGATATGCCTTCTTTTTGACAGGCCTGATCGATCAATTGAACGGCTTGAAAATTGGCGTCCGTATAAAATCGTGGCAAATAATTGGGATTGTCCTTGAACCGTCCGGCGGGGACCACACCATTGCCTTGTTGCAAGTGTTTTCCAGTGAGCAGACCGGCCGCGAGGGGATTGTAAGCGACAAATTGACAATTGTGTTTGTGTAATACAGGAAGCAATTCGTCTTCGACCAATCGATTCAGTGGATTGTAGAGTCCTTGATAGACCGTGGGAGGTGTCAAGTTGTGTTCTTGACAGAGAGTAAAGGCGCGTTCCATCTCGACGGCATGATAGTTGGACATGCCCAGAGACGCAATTGGTTTGTCTTGCTGGTGGATCAATTCGTCAATGCATTGCAGACTCTCCAGTAACGAATGTTCCGTGTCGGGTTGATGAAGGTAATATTCTCCCAAACTCGAGAGTGCCATGGCATCCAACGACGTGGCCAATTGCTCTTGAATGCCTTTTCGTGAAAGACCTCCGGGAAGCGCCGGATTGGCCTTGCTTCCCACCACAATACTGCTCTTACTGTCAGATACTGATAATTTATCCAGAACGGCTCCGACCATGAGCTCCGTCTTGCCACCGGCGTAGACTCGTGCCGTGTCCAATAACGGCACCTTGTCGTTGTCGGATGTTTCTTGGAATTGCAAGAATTTTTGAACCATGGCCAATGCCACCGATTCGTCCACGACGGAACTCGTTTGACCCGACCAAGCAAAGGTCATACTGCCAAGGTAGATGCGGGGAATCGGAGTCCTCATCGTCACAGAGTATTTCTTATTTGTTCTATGAAATAAAATGTAACACTGATGGAACATAACAGAAGCTAAAAACGGGTGTACGGAATCCGGATCCAACGAGCCAAGCGAGCCAACGATCGAGCCGAGGTTGCTGTCAGAGCTGTTGTGAGAAAGACAACCAAGCGGCATTCGTCATCCTGGTCACGTCATTCGATTGGTGTGAATGATTTGAATTCATGAGTGCGACGTCAAATTTCATGCCGGCAAAGTTTTATGTTGCGGTTGTACTGTACAGTAGCTACTGTACTTGCGTACGCTTCTACCCCATCAATAAGATATCATCTCAATCTCAGTATCTTTCATATCTCATGGACACCACATGTACCAGGTACTAGCAGCTATTGGAAGATACCCTACCACTAACTATCATATGCCCACAAAGACAGTGAGGAGCCACCGCCAAAGCCCAAGAAGGCAAAGGTGCAAAGCCAAAATTGACCAAACAAAGATGATGCGGTGGAGGAGGCACCCCAGAATGGGGATTTGAAGTACTTGGATGTAGATGGTGATGTGGAAGACAGTGGGTACTAGCTAGCTGACCTCACTACCAGTACGTACCAGTGCCCACATAGTAGTATTAGTACTAGTAGCAGCTTAGGATTTGAGACATTGGTACTCGTAGCTTATCTTACAGGTTACTGGTTTGGGAAATCTGAGTATCTAGGTTACGTTGTCTTTTACAACATTTCTGTAAACTTGAGTACTGTACGGTACTTGGTATCTAAACCCACTTACCGGTATCTTAACAGTGAGAGTGAGGATTGCACCACCAGCTACGGTGGCTTGCCGGTACTCGAGCAGGTGCGCGTGGCTACCGGTAGCGTGACGTTGACGTTGACTTCCTCTCACAAAATTCCCAGATCCGATCCGGTTGAAGAGAAAAAAGCCCCAAAGACAAGCACACTTTCGGATCGTGAAACAAGAAGCACTCTGAGAATAACAAGCAACAGAATTGTTCAAGCCAATAGTCATTCCTTCCTTCCTTCTGCCAGTAAGAGTGAAAGAGAGACCATGGACACTTCCAGCTTGCACCATCCACGCATCCGTAGCGGCTCCATTTGCGACCATGACTCGCAGTCCATGACCATCTTTGTCGTCGACAAGCGCAGCTCTTCGCATTTGCTCTTTGGCGTGGGGCACACCGACACGGTGCACTCGCTCAAGTCCAAGATTGCCGATCGTCGTGGCATTCCCTTTGAACAACAGCGTCTCGTCTTTGGAGGACAGCAACTCCAAGACGACGCCAAGTTGTCGGATTACAAGATTCGAGCACAATCTTGTATTCATTTGGATGGTATGTAATGAGGGAAGTACGTTGCGAACGCGAGATAGAGAGAGAGAGAGCTACGAACGAGATGAGGACGTCGTCGTCTCAAGCAAGCAAGCAACCAAGAAACATGCACACAAACAACATGATCACACACAATTTTCAACGCAGGCTATTACGTATTCAATTCACACACTCATGGTCGGATCGGATCGTGGAGACCTGGCAAGGGCAGTTGGAGCCAGTGGATCCGTTCGAACGACCAAGACAATGCAAGAGGAAAGCATTTCTGTCACAATGAAAGAAGCCGCACTATATATGTCTCCTGAAACACATGGATAGAAATGTATCTTTTATATAGAATGACAAATTCATCACTCCTTCTCTTCAGTAGGGCTGGTTCTAGTTGGAAACAGCTTTTGCTTCATCCATTCGCTTCTTTGTTGTTGCGAATTGACTAAAGTAGAACGCTGCAGCATCATTGCATTGCATGCCTGTTCTGTGAGGATCATTTTGATAGAATGATCTATCATAGGTTCGCTCGAATTTGCTTGTCGCCTCTTTTGGCATTCTGCAGCACATGGACGCCCGCAATTGTCCCATTACGCCCTTCTCCACGGTGCCTCTCCACGGGAGATGATGGTTGGGCCAAATCTAGCCTTGCAGTACCTTGGTCGGTGCAATGGTGCATTGGAAGCGGCTAGTACCGGTACTAGTGGACCAATGTATTGCTCTAATGGAATCTACTAGCACGAGCTGGACAGAGCACCTGGCACTTGCCTCATTTGGCATTCCGGTACATGTGGAGTCCTTTCATAGACTGGGTGGGCCACTCGACTCTCGTCCTGGCGCATGTATGCCAGAGCGGTTTTGTGGAGAGTCACTCGACGAAAAGAGCTTGGTTATTATGATGCTCCAGCCAAATTGACGGAAGACCACCGTCATTGCCGTACTCTATCTGGCCTGTGCCTGTCTGTGGCAGTACTTTTGTGAGCCTCTACAACTGCTGCAGGTCCCGGCATGTGGTAGTGAGAACATCTAGTTTGGGTGCCATGATACAAAGACATTGATGATAGCGAGACTCGGAACTGATATTTGATCTCCTCTCCAGCGATGACAGCCACGTCTGTTGAGTGAAAGTTGAAGGTGGTTGCCGCTTGATTGGAAGCAAACCAACACCAGAAGAAGGTGTGGCTGCCCCTGACATAGCCATCCAAGGCGCGGGGCGGATGATGAGAGATCAAATAGCAATGATACGGGAGTCAGAGAGGCGTGCACAGCTGCAGGCATATGCAACAGGACCAATCGACGTAACTAATCCACTGATTGACACCTTCAATTCTCTTAGTATCTTTTGAGAATCAAATGTGTTTCTTCTCTTATCATCTATGTGGTACGAATGATATCTCTGTTTTCTGCAAGTCCAAATTTCTTCTCGCCTGTTCCTTCTTCGTCGTGGTACCTCTCACTGCCACTTTTCTTTGAATGTCCACTCAAATCCAATTTCGTCCAGTTTATCCATCTTTTCACTGCTCAAGGTGCCCTTCATGTGCTCATGTCGTTGGCAACAAACCCACGAAGCAAGTTGTGGGTTGTTCCGAAAGCCCATTGGAACCAAACAATCGCCAGCGCGAATCTTGTAGGCCACAAGCTCTTCAAACTTGCTCTCCCACATGGACTCCCAGATACGATCCATCATGGCCAACGGATCTTCCCCTGTCTCTTCGGCAAAATCCACGGAAATGGGACAGCCGAGACCGTTTCCCATTTCAATCATGTGGTTGTTGTTGGAAGCACTGGTCGTTGTTTCGTTGTGCCCATAGTAGCTGTGGAACCACCCGACATTGTCAGCTCCATATGCCATGCGGACCGTCCACTTGTTGGAGGCAGAGCGATGAAGAGCAGCGGGGAGGACAAAAGATTGGACCAAGGGTGCCGGGGTTAATGTCATGAGGAATGCAACACAAAGAAACGCAGTATGGAAGAACATTTTGTGTTGTGTAGATGGATATAATCAAAGATTTTGGATAGTATAATACTTCTTGCTCATGAATTTTATACTTTCAGATTATTGATGAGGTGAGTATAAAATCAGGTTATGACCAAATAATACCTTTCTCGAGTTCCACAAATCTTGCCGGCTGCAAAGATACGATTGGAGCGGGCGCGTCATTGGCTTCCTTGGATGTGATTGAATTCTTTCAATTCGATGAACCAGAATTTACACTGAGCAAAAAGTGAGAGTGCCTAAAAATATTTGACAGAGGCAAGCCTACGGGCTAGCTAGCTAGTAGCTATTAGTAGAGTTCTGGTGCCGAGTGCTCGAATGATTGAATTCAATCATTCGATGGAATCAGAATTTATCAAATGCAACAAAATGCGAGAGTACATGTAGTGCTAAACAGAGACAAGGACCTCCAGGCCGCTCATGAGTGCTCCTTGGTTGTCTATGATTGATTTCAATCATTCGATGATGAATCAGAATCAGAATGATCAATGGATCAATCAATGTGAGGACCTTAGCCGCTCAACTGGCTAAAACTCTCTTTAAGCCCGTCTGGCGGTAAAACGGTCGGACTGGCCGTAAAGTAACTATGGTACGGTATCTGTTACATGTGCTCGTACAGAGCTACTAGTAGGCTGCATCCATACGGTACCGGTGGTATCGTCGGAAGTAATGCTCACCAGTACATGTACCGGAACCAGGTACTGAGTATTCGAGTGTTTATCAATTGCAGCAAAAAGTGAGTATTCTAAATATAATTTACTGGGATAGGTACACCCCTACCTCGCATATAAGCTAACTATATGCTGAGCCCTGTACTATACTAGAAGTACCAGGTATCGATATCTTAGAGGATTCGTCAACAGCCATACTGAGTCATTATCTTACAAGCAGCCCATTCTCAGTATTTTTCTTATCTTATAGCCACTAGCAGCTATTGTTACATACCCTAATACTAACCATGCCCTCAGACAGTGAGGAGCCACCACCAAAGCCCAAGATGGCGAAGGTGCGAAGCCAAAATTGATGAAAGCCAAAATTGATGAAACCAAAGATGTTGTGGTAGAACAAGCAACCCAAATGGGGAATGGAGGACTTGGATGTAGATGGTGATGTGGGAGATAGTGGGTACTAGCTGCCCTCATTCTCCACATAGTAGTAGTAGTAGTTTTGGATTTGAGACGTTAGTACTCGTCCGGTTTGGGAAATCTGAGAATCTAGATTGTCTTAACATTTCTGTAAAGTTGATTACTCGGTATCTTAAACCCACTTATCTTTTAAAAATGTGTGTGAGGAGTGTAGGTACAGTATGACCATTTCCATGAGAGATAAAGGTTCCATGCCAGAGCTACAGTTATTGGATAGTCAGCTGGTAGACTGCTGTTAGTCACGCAATGAATCGTCCATCGTCCATCTCTGCATGCAGCCCACAGTCCCATTCTCCATTCTCTTTCCGGCCTTTCGGGGGCTTTTCTTTAGAGTTCATTTGGAACTTCACGTCGAGTTCCGGCGTTCCGGGCCGTTCCGGCGGGGAACTTCCTTGGTCTTTACTTGAGCTTTACTTGACATTATTTTACGGTACTGTAATATGGTGTTGGCGGTTGGCGGTTGGCGGTTGGCGGTACTCATACGCCTCGAGTAACAAAATAATGTAGATCTCTTTGGCTGCCGAACCAACTTACTAACTTACTATCACTTCCAGAGCACTTCCAGAAGCAATGCAGTAGTAAAGAGTTATGGAATGCGTGAGGGTGTATTGGGAGCTATGGGGGACCTTGGACGTTTTCGTTGCTCTGATCTTGTTTGGCTGATTTCAGTAGGGTTGGTTGGAAAGCTGTTGGAATGAACGATCCAGGGATTTAACCACAAATGCACCTTGAACAATCAAGAATGCACGATTATATCTGGTGAGATAATGGTGCTTTGATATTATAGGAGATCGCCAAGAAGTCGTTTACCTGGTCTACTCAGTACTTAGTTTGGTACTTAGGCATTTCTGTGAAGAGGATAATTTGGGCCCATGTCAAGTATTATAGAATGCAAAAAGGGGTGCAGCTTGCTTTAGAAACGAGAGATGAGAAACGAGAGCTCTTTCGCTGAATGGGCCGAACAGAACTGCTACAACCTGGAACCTGGCACGTAGAGATGCATCATGATCTGCGATGGCCAAGACCCGTCTCCCTTCCAGTTTTGGCTACCATCGACTAGCCAGGACCGGCGCTTTGATCTTTGGTGGCTACAGGACAAGTAGTTTAGATGGTTTGTTTCCAGACCAGGCAGCGGACCCAGCCAAGTGAATCGAAACGGACGCCAAGGCCTCCGAGTCCGGGAACTCCATTCTTCTTATCTGGTTGTGTGTTACGATTGATAGCTTGATAGACAAATCTCCCAACGGCTTTCTACCACTAACCACTGAACACCAATAGAATCGAATCTTCAATCGATCGGGGCTCCATTAGACTACAGCTCCTGCCTTAGTAGCAGCTCAACCTACTACTGGTACATACGTACATACATGTAGCAAGTCCAACAATGGGGTAGATGAATCAGTACCGTATGGTACTGGCCAGGCTCCTTAGGGCTCCTGAGTTCTGAGTTCTGTATTTTGGACAAAAAGTGGGTTTTGGCTCATCGCCGGTACCGGTACTGGCCATCATAAAAATTAATCATCAAGCTTTGCAGATTCGATTCCAGGATTGCAGGGGTCTTTGCTTTCTTGCCGACTGGATTTTGTGCATTATGGATGCTTTTTCCCATGAGTTATTGGCTTAGAGTACCGTATCCAAGGTGATAGCTGTTACGTGCCCCTGTCCCGTGGTATCTTACAAGTAATTGATGCTCTGGGGCAATAAATCTACAATTTCTTTGGCAATCTTCTGGTCCGCGTAAGAGCTGTGAGCTGAAGTGTGTAGAGAGCGGCCTTAGGCCGCTCTCTACCGGAGGGACTAAAGTAGCCACTAAGCCATATTTCGTAGTTTAGTCCATAGTTTAGTCTCCGGGGGTGGTGTCTACCCAAGCCACTAAACGTCCCACGGACTAAAGGGTTTAGTCACAAAGTTCGTTCACCGACTAACCGGAGGCTGGTTAGTCGTGAGCGAACATAACGACTAAAGCTTCTTTAAGACTCTTTAAGAATGAATGAATGAATCTTCAACCAGCCTCATTGCACAGCCTCAACAAGAGAGGCAGCTACTTGCCCAACAAGGAAGCGAGCGTAACGACTAAAGCCTCTTTAAGAACGAATCGAATCAGCCTCATTGGACAGCCTCACTATCAGAGACATGCGACAGAGCTGATAGAGGTAGAGGTGCAAAACAATACGACTGCACACCGAGTTGGATAACAAATTCCAACAGGATTACCACAGAGGTGCTTCGTGGGAGTTCCGAACGATCGAACCATGGAAACCATCCAGAGGTGCAAACGATCGAACGATCGATATGATAGTAGAGGTGCAAAGGAGAGGTGCATGGCAATGGTGTGTTTTGAGTCTTGTTATCTCAGTCTTGTTATCTCAAAAAAATAATCACTTCTGTTAAGTCTTTGTTTGAGTCCTTTAATCCCTTCTGTTAAGTCTTTGTTTGAGTCCGTTACATCTTTTTTGAGTCCTTTAAGTCCAGTAGTGTTCCGTTTAGTCATTTGTTTAGTCATTTGTTTAGTGCTGGGTAGACAGGTCCAAATGACTAAAGAACTGACTAAATTGTTTAGTCCGAGATTTAGTCATCTGCTGGTAGACACCACCATTACTAAAGGATAATGACTAAATCTTGAACTAAACAACCACCTAAAGGTTTCCTTTAGTCGCTACTTTAGTCCCTCCGGTAGAGAGCGACCTAAGATATTAATAGAGCTCATCGAGGGGGTCAGTCCCCAAAGTCAGAGCCCAAACCTGTTTGTCGCGCCTATACGGAAACCGTTCAACCACCTCACGAGACGTCGCTCCTCTCAGCTCTGAAGTCGCCATAATAGGAGCAGATCCCCAGCAAGCTCATCCTTCTACGAGCAAGAGTATCGTACTGTACAGTATCTATTGTTGGTTGCCATTAACTTATTTCACTGATCAGGAAGAGGGTACTTCGACAAGTTCCAACAGTTCACTTCATTTATTGACTTCCACAAGGGTTGTGAAAGACAATTCCAAATACAGACCAAGCATGCTGACCATTCATCACCATCATCAAGGGAGCCCGCCATCACCAGCGACTGTTGCGGTGAACGTCGATGACGATGAGCTGGAGCTTGGCAACAGCCCGTTGGAGTATCATCCGAGTCCATTTCGCCTCCCGGAACGAAGCCATAGTGAGAGTACCAACAACAAGGCCAAGCACCCGCAACGAACTGTCCCAGTAACCGCTAGCCTAGAAGAAGATCCTGACTGTGCTCTACAACAGGAAGTTCCGCAGATGCCTCCACTGAAGCGAATGGACAGTCTCCCGACAGCTCCATGGCGAAGACAGAGTATCGAAGACAAGAAAGCGGCACAAGCAGCAGCCTTGGTGGAAGAAGACGAAGAACCGCAAGAAGCTCATCCTACCAACGAGCCCGTCAAGAGAAAGGGACGACTACCAAAGTTGACCCTGACCCGTGGATCCAGTGATGATACAATCCCTCGCAAAGCCGTCCGCAAACCAAGCAATGATAAGAAAGAAAACAAGGGAGCTCTGTCCTTTCGATTGCCAGTCCGCAAACCAAGCAATGATCACAATGATGCTGCCAATAAAGAGACTGCCAAGTCCTTTCGCATGCCACCCCGCATGCCCAGCCGATCATCGAGCCAGGACGATTCGACGGCCAGTCGCAGCCTTCGCTTTCTTTCCTTTCGACGCAATCAAACCAACAGCTCGAATTCCACAGGAAACAAGGTGGCAGGCTGTGGGCACCATCATGATGAGCAAGACAATATCAATCATGGCAGCAGCCATCATGAACCTGAAGATGATGATCACAACCGACTCGTCATTACCGGCAAGAGTCAACGTCGCATATTCAGCAAGCGAGAGTTCTCAACGGCAGAACTTGGCTCCACCGAGGCCATGACCGAAAAAGATGAGGATGCGGACTACATCTTGGACCAGCTCACACCCAACATGCTCTCCAAGCTAGACCTGCTGGAGGATAGCACCAACAGCACTCCTCTTTCGGCGCAGAACAAGAAGGACCGACAAGCGAGTCTTCACTTGCACCAGATCTTTGGAGGAGGCAGCAGTCGACGCGGCATGAATTCGTTTCGTCGACAATTCTCGGGTTGGGGCACCAGCAGTCGACGAGGAGGGATAGGGCACCACAACGGGCACAACAACAACAATAGTGGTGGATCGCGAGCCAGCTTTTTTAGTTCCATTTCCAGTGCTTTCTCGTCGGTGCGCGGTGTCTTTGTCTTTACCATGAGCAACAGTGATCGGAATCTAGCCGAAATGGATGGGAACAGTGTGCCCATTCTCGTGGACGATGATAATGTCTCGCGATACCACAACTACCACGAAGATGATGATATTCAGGACTACTATTGTCGTTGCGGAGGTGAGAATAAAGAAGGGCAAGAAGAAGAATGTGCCGCCCACCCACCGCAAATGCCATGGCGCCGTCTGAGCTTGACATCCAGTTCGCGTGGCTCCAAAAATGGCTTTCATCCGCCGCAACAACCGTGGCGCCGCAACAGTTTGGCATCTAGTTCGCAGCGATCGAACGGATTCCCGCCGCAACAACCGTGGCGTCGCAACAGCTTGACGTCTAGTTCGCAGCGATCCGGTGGCTTTTCAGGATCTCCGGGTACCAGCAGTCGTTCTACTGGCGCTGGCCAGTTTGACGGAGTGCCTCGACCACCCGGTCGTCGAAGCAGTTTGGTGGGAGCCACCGTGGACTGCATTGCGGAAGTGGATAATGAGGTCGACGCATCGGCCAGCTTTCATGTCGACGACGATGACGAATTCAGCAAGGACTCGGAATCTGCCGCTCCATTCGATTTCCAGCGCAGTCGAAGATCGCTTCAACACCTCGAAGAGGTTCGCATCGACGAATCTTCCGTCTACGAAGAATCATCTGGCAGCAACCGGAGGTTCCACAGCAGTGCTCCCATGCCCGATTTCGATTCACTTTCGGACGACCAATCCAGCTCGGCCAAGAGTAGTCGCAGACAGAGTGCACCCGCCCGGCCCATGCGCATGAGTGAAGAAGATGTAATGAGTACTGGCGAGAGCAGGTTTCGCAGCAATTCCAACAAGAGCATCATGAGTGAAGAAACCGAGCTTCCCTTTCCCGTGCGCCGCGAGTCGATTCAGACGGTTCAGACTGCGGCGTCAGGAGCATCGTCCGCTTGTCGTCGTCGGAGCTTTTCTGCAACCAAGGCACCCAGTAGTGTTCCTCCGGAAGCCACGACCTTGGAAAAGAAAGCTTTCTTGAAGAAGACATTGCATTTTCCCAAGCAACGACTGGGCCAGGTCTTGAGGCGAGTCTCGGGCATAGGGAAGAGGAGGCCAAGCACTAGTAGCAGGTCTCACCGTAGCTAAGCTATGGCACGGTGCGACCCACGCGCAATGCTGCAACTGCAATGGTGCTTTGTTTTAGACTACAGGGCATCGGGATTCTATTAATAAATTGCACATTTTATATTGATCTGATCTTACATGTAGCTTACTTACATACAGGTGATGTGGCCGTCCTGGCTAGCGGGAGTTCGTTGCAGTCTTTGGCTTCAACGACGGCGGCGGCGTCCACAGAGTGCTTCTCCTTGCTTTCAAGCCTTGATGGTTATATTGTGCGCCAAAAGTCGCTTCTGTCTTCTTCTTTTTGAAAGGAACGATGAACGAATACGCATGCTGCATCATGGGGCGACCAAGGGGCCTAGACGGAGCTCTTTTGGAGATCTGTGTAGTCCCTTCCTCTCTTGCTTCCTCGTAGACAATGTTGGCAAGAACCTCCCAGCCGTACGCTGTAGGGTGGCACTCATACCGATTCACCATTCATCAGCAAGGAAGCAAAGCATCATAGAAGCACCATCATAGTTACTAAAGCAAGCTGAGAGGGTGATCTTGTATCTATGCTACCGGTGCCGGTATGCTACCGGTGCCGGTAGTCCTTATTACTCGTTGATATTATAGGAACTCAATTTCATATCTTGCTGATTTATTAAAAGTATGCTAGCAAATAAATGGGCTATGGCTATCAATCTATGCATATCTTGACATACCAGAGGCCCCCAGCAACGCGGCCAGAGCAGATTTGCCTTGGATGGTTTGTACCCTATTTCCAGTAAACAAACAGTGGTCATCATCCGCCAGTCCGCAGAGAGATCTAAATTTGAGTATTTTTTGTGTTCTGGACCAAGCTTCTCTCTTGTGGCCATCGATGGCACACAGATACTGGAGTTGCAGTGGTCCTTGCATACGATGGTGGAGGATCATATGAGCTTCTTTGGTGAGGACATGATAGTATCCTTGCCTGGTTCCCAAATGTTTGTGGGTTGCTGACCCATAAACGTAGTGTTCCTTCATCTCTGTCATTTTGTCCAAGGGAATAAAGGCAGGACATCCTTGCTCATCACTTTCAGTTTCTATGGGATACAACCAATTTCCCCGTTTCATGGGGAATTGGGCAAACTTGGAATCCAGCTCCGGAAAGATCAGAGCCATCATCTGAGCCGTTCGGGTGTCTTCTTGTCGGGAGCGAATGATGCCCATTGGATTTGTCTGGTGTTTACGCTGTTGCTTGTAGTGAATTAGGTTAGTTTTGTCTGGTGGTTGAGTTTATGAGCCAAGATACCTTCGAGGATCATGCAGAACTGGAATGGATCTTGGTTGGGTTGGAATGGGGTTTTGCGTTGTGCGGGATGGTTACAAGACTCGGACTGAGCAGATCTACTCACAGTTCTTATGGAAGAATTACATGCAAAGAACATCAAGATACAGAGATTTAACAGCACACTAAAATCAACCTCCGAAGCAACATATTCTTTGTAGAAGAACCAACCAACCTGTAGGCCAATGCAATACGTACGCTATCTACGAGATAGGTAGTATCTACCGTCTGTTAGTATTAGTGCGATATACGGTACCGGTACCGGTACGTGTACTGTACATTTAATTAAACATCTTCCAAGAGATTGTCTCCACACCACCGGTAGCTAGCTACCTGGTAGTAGTGATGAAACGACCACAGCGATCAAGTCGGAACGTGGGATTGGAGGTTCTCTTTTTGGCAACTGTGGTGTCGGAGCGCCCCGCTTTCGACTTTTTTAGCCAAATCGAATCCAAAGCAAAGACTGAAGAAACGTCTTTAGCGACTGTCACTCACATTTTAGCCGATTTTCATAACTCCTTCTTCTTCTTCCCATTTCTCTCGCAATTTAAACTTTGGCTCCTGCATCAGACTCGACTCTCACTAGAAACAGAAAGAAATAGTTACTGCACCATGAAGCTTGGTTATTCCTGTATTCTCTCCCTTCTCTTCCTGTTTCAGAATGTGCAGGTTTCCCAGAGTGCGGCGCTCGTCTTGAATGAGGATGGAACAGACTCACCCCTTGGCGCGATTGTCTGTTTTTTGATTCCATGTGCCGATCCATCCCTTGGAGCCAGAAACTTTTTTGCTCCAGTAGCAACAGGAAGTGGAGGAGCTGGATCCTCCGGTCCTCCGACTCCTGGTGAAACCGGCGAGGGAACTGAGGGCACCATTCTACAACAACTAGTCTACGTCGGTGGTCAAATTGTCCAGGCCGTCCTCGACGAGCGCCAACAAGAAGACGAGATGCAAGTAGCAGGTGGAGACCCAGCAAGAGAAAGAGAAGAACTCAATCTTCGTATTCAGTTGCGAGATGTTGCCATTGGGTTTATCAATGGGTTACTTGCTGGTCAAAATGGCGGTGAAGATGAAGAAACCCCGTCGGAAGTGGGAAATGCAGAAGATGAAGACTCCGATGTTGTTGAGCGACTTCGAGTAGCCGCTGTGGGTCTCGTTATGACCATCTTCAATAGGCTTGGAGATGGCGGTGATGGAGGCACACGCCGACGTCTTCGTGGCCAGGTGAACGACAAGCAGCAGGTGGACAAGCTGCTGAAGCTGCTGCAACAAGACAAGCTCAGCGACCCACAGCTGAAAGAACAAAAAGAGGAAATGGACAAGGCGGCAATGAATACTTTTATGTTGGGGCATTAGGAAACGAAGACAAGAAAGCTACATAGTGCCGGTATCATACCATTTTTAAAAAATGTACAACTTGCATCAACATGGTATTGGGTGGCCGGGCAAGTTATCGAATGCGCATGACTTCAATCCTACTCCCTTCAATGATCTTGCTTCCTTGCCCTCGGGAGAACTTCGAAAAGGATGAAACTCCGCAGCAGCGTCGATTGTTGATGATAGAGATGGCTTGCCAACGTAAAAATGTAGAAGCAGTTGCATGTAACCAAGTATCTTTCGCTGTAGTGTGTACTAGTATGGTGTTTGCTGCGTATCGGTATCCGAGGCATCTTTGGCCTCATTTGTTCAGTGTTGACGTATCCAAGGCATGTTTGGCCTCATTTGAACATTGTTGACGTGGAAGGAGTTGTTCATTGTTGGCTGATGTGAAAGGGGGTCTCTTTGCCTGCTTTCATTGCTGATTTTATGAACTTTGGATTAGCTTTGCTTGCACATTGGACAACACGTAAAACAGCGCTGACAGGTTGCCTTGTAAGTCCGGGTTAGACAACACCCCAACCCACATTTCTGCTGTCGTGGCTTCCAATATAGCCCGGTAGGGACGAAAGAACCGATTCTTCAACAACCAAAACTCTTTCTGCTCAAGAACCACAGGCGACAGCTGACCTTCAGGGATAATATCGAATGCTTCAAGGGTATGGTTGTGTTTGTTGAGATGCTCCCAAGTTCCGGAGTCGTTGAACCCATTTGGAAGTGAGTTGTCTAGAGGCGCGAGAAGCACAAGGCGCTTCAAGCTCTTGTTGACTGCGAGGGCTTCACACAGGACATTTACACAGTCTGGGTGGACTGGTGCCTGCAATGTAAGGTCTAGTTCTTCAAGATCGCGGGTCTTTTTCAGATATTCCATCAGAAATCGCATCAGTTTCAGGGTGCAATCTTGGTTTCGACGCGCCAACGAAATCTCCAGCCGCTTAATGCTGGTCAAGAACCTGTAATCCAATGCTTCGCAATCCAGCAAACGGACTAGTAGTTTCGGACTGCAGATTCCCAACCTTGTCTCCGGATTAAGTTTCACCTTGCAAGCGTTAATTTCCAATAACTCCAGGTACGGTAAACTTGCACAAGACTCAAAGGTCGATGTCCAATAACTGCGTGGGGCAGCTTGGTACATTGCATCAACCTCAACAGCAAGCCTGCATTTAGGCAGCGTGAAGCGTCGCAATGACACCAGTCGTCGAATGGCTCCCGCGAACTCTTCCAACTCCGCCTCATGTTCTGCAATCACATCGAGATTGGACAGAGTAAAGCTCTCCAGATTACCAGCAGCTGCCATGAATAGTGCAGTCAAGTGGCGGAGATTGAGTGATCCTTCCACTCCTTTGGTTCCGCCAATCACCGTCACGGAAGTCAAGTTGGGCAACTGCCCAAGCTTTTCAAAGAAGGATGACATGCTTTGTTCGTACTTTTGATTCTTTGCTGGTTGTTCCACTGCATAGCCAGTGCGGTCGTATAAAATTTCAATCTCCTTTTTGATGGTGACAACAACGTCACGACTCAATGATTGAAATGACAAAGAGCATGCGTTGCGGTCCACATCCTTTGTTTTGTCATTGAGTGTCACGAAAAGGGTTGGGATTTCCGTGGATGGCGATACTTGGGTCTTCTTTCTCAACTTCTGCAAGACCTTCTTGGCTCTGTTGAAAGTGCCCATGGTTGATGATGATGAGACGACAAGCTGTAGCAGTGTAGGAGATTGGTTTCGATGGTTCTTCTTTTTATGCTTCATTGAATCGGGTTACTTGTGGTTATTATGCTATGAGTGGTTGCTGTGCTATTCTCATCAGGGCTCACGGATGGAACGGCTTGGTTCGCATCGAAATCGGGAAGCATCAGCGACACAACATAGGGAATGCAGTCAAGTCGGCGAGGATTTCGTGGGAAGCTACATGTCGACACGCTTCACTCCTGCACGCAGGGTGGCGCTCTTTCTGGTGGCATCCAGTCTCACTGCACCTCGCGGCATACGGTACCGCTACGATGCCGTACTCGTACTAGCTAGTATCGGTACGCCACTGTCTCCTTGGGCTGGGCCCAGAGAAAACAAATGAAGGATTGACTGTCTAGCCATTGTTACAGTACAATGCTGCTTGTTCAACAACGTTGTCGGCGGGAGGCTAGAGTTTGGAAAGATGGTGTCTTTCTTTACGCATTTTGGCTGGATGCGGGCAAAACATCAGGGGCTTCCGGCCCAGAGCAGATCTATGCCGTAACGGTACTAACAATACACTACCCCTACAATACAGTAACCAGTACTACATGTAGCTGCCGGTAGGGTGCAGTAGTACTAGCTTGAGTTCCCTTTCATGAACTTGAACGCTCCGATCCTCGGTACTGTATCATCCAGGAAGCACCTCTTGTGGAGAGACATGCGTTTTGATAATTGAACACATCCGTCCTTCAATGCAAACTCGTAGGTACTTGTGATACCGATGGACCACCGTCCATTGCATGTTTCCACATAAACCGGACACAGAAGCCCCCGGTTGTCGCTGTTTTCATCTAATCCAAAAAGCGATGCAGGCTTAAAAGAAGGCGTCGGAGGCAAGTAGAGGTTCAAATGGCACGAAAAATGGAGCCTCGCTGCACCTACATGTTACCGAAGCCTCTCCGAGTGTACGAGCAATGCAGTTGGCGTCAACACGCCAACGAACGAAGGTTTTGAGGGGATCTCAGGGTTGTCGCAAAACCTGCAGCAACTACCCTTGGACGTTGGTATTATCACAGCGCAACAGCAACAAACAAGCGCCATGGACGACCACAGCGCTTCCGATCCTACACCATCGTCGACATCGACTACCTGTAGTTCCGGCGAAGAGGTGCTATCCTTCTCGGAGAACGAAGCATCGTTTGACTCTTGCATGGAAGTCTCCTTTGATGTGATGGAACTTCCACACGACAGCGAAGCGGCGGCACTTGCTCTCGCTCCCTCAGTTAATAAGAGGCATGTCATCATGGACGAAGAGCACAACAATGGATCCATTGTCTTTACGGTAACATCGTTCCCCACCAACTCGACTGTTTCCGCGTCGACTATGACCCCATCCCCTCCCAAGGTTGTGGAAATTCGCCGCCGTCGCCGCCATTATGCAACCAAGACGGAACGTCAATCATCATTGCACTCGAGCCCGTATGCGCAGCTTTGTTGGGATCCCAACCAAAAGGGTTTGGTGACCATGTTGGAAATTGATATTATCAATGGTCGCCGAAAGAGCCATTCGCGTCTTCCCTTGGATGCCCCGTCCCCCGAAGACTTTTTTCCGTGGCTTCATCCCCAAGATGGTCTTTCGCCCTCTTGGACGTCCACGGGGCACCACAGCAAGAGCACGATTAGTAGCCTTTCGGGAGACCACCACACGGCGGAAGGCAAGGAGAATGGCAGCGACGAAGATGATGAAGAGGAGGAGGACGGTTGTGAACCGATTATCTTGTCTGGTTGGATGATGGATCCCGATGCCATGAGTGATGAAGAGTCGGATATCTACTGGTTGTTGAACGATGGCAAGGATGTCTGGGTGAAGATTGACGACGGTTGTGCCAAAGCTCTTCGAAAGTTCTGGAAGTCGTATGCGCAGTGGAAGTTGAAGAGATCTACCCCACAGCAGCCCGGGTCGCCTGATGCGCGAGAAGAGAAGCGTCTTCGCTATTCCATGTTGCGTTAGTTATTATAGGATTGGCGGGCACACACACACTCACCGAACGAACAATGGAATGAATGAATGAATGCTTGTCGTGCCGATATCTACTACGTATTCCAAAAAGGGAGGTGCACTCGGTCCAGCTATCTTGGGAATCTCCAGCCTTGGAACATGTTTGCTCCTCCATTACCTGGTACCGCTGATAATGACATAATAGTTACCGTAGCAGCAGGTTGACAAGAGTGAGCGCTATAGCTACCGTATCTAGCTAGCTAGCAAAATAAGCTCGATCTATACAGCACGTGAGCAAACTAGCAACTGCAACGGAAATGTGAGTTGTCGACCTACTCTGTGGCTGGTTAGAGGAGTGTTGTGGACTTCGGATTCATTCGATTCGATCGTTAGAAACGCTCTTGGACACTTTGGAGGTTTGGCAGGTTGGAGTGAAATGAGGTGGCCTGGTGGCTCGGTGGTACATTAAGTGACAAGTCCCGGATTATCTGAGGCTTAAGTCTCCATATCATCCTTCTTAATCCACGTCATCAAATGTTTCTCCGAATTAGGCATCCGTACTCCAAAAACAGTCATTATCTTCCCCACCTGTTTCAATGGTCAGTGGTACTGAGTGGATGAGACTGTACATGTAGTAAATTCTGGTACCATCATGCTGCTGGTACATTTACCAATAGCGCTCTTGTGTTTTTTGAAAGTCATGCAGGATGCAATTGAATTCTTTGATGAGACTCTAGCTAGCTAGCTTGAAGTGTTCATCACTGCTGGTGCCATAAAACCAACAACCAACAACATCTCAACTTACATAGTAACATGAAACCCAGAATACCACAACAACAACATCGTCCCCATGCTGCCATCTCATCATGGAGTCTCCTCCTCACTCTATTGCTGTGCTCTGCTGGACCCGCCCAACCCAGCCACGACGTATCCGCCGCCGATGATGACTCACTGCAAGAACAACAACCATTTGCCGATGACGACAATCTGTTTGTGGACACGACGCCAGTGTATTATCGACAAGCCGTGGACTTTCGAGACCTCTTTCTTCCACCCGACCAAGCCCTGGCATTAGGGGGGACCGGCTTGGCACCGTATGGGGATATGATATACACCAACGTGTGGCCGGCTGTGAACGCCCCCATGGAAGAGGGAGCCGATCCCATGGAGAACATGGTCAATACGCAAGTGATAGAGCCCATTACGGTGAACCAGTCGGGAATTCCAGGATCGATTCTGTATCCCGAGGAACTGTTGAATTATCAATTCGACTTATCCACGTGGCTAGGAGACGCCCACATCAAGGTCTCCAACATTCGAGTCCACAATCTCAACACGTTCATCCCCATTGTGTTGCTCCATCCCACCACCGAGGCACACGTACTCTCCAACGTCTTTCAAATGGGACCCAATCTGACCGCCTCTAACACTCCCGTCCAAGATATAGAAGAAGCACCGCACGTCATTATCCGTCTCGATGTCCACATTGACGGCATCTCCACTCCTCTGTCGTCCCATGACATTGTCGACATTCACTTGAAGATACCCTCTTCTCACTTTCTCATGGATCTCGTCGTCCTGATTGACGCCATGAAACTCTTGAACATGCCACTGGGAGATGTCATGAATCCCTTTTGTTGGATCAACACACTCCTACACACACTCGACCCATACGATCCAGAACATCATCCCGTCTATTTGCAATTCTTTCAATCCTCCTTGGCATGGATCTTGTTGGATGTTCAGTGTATCGACTGTTCTCCCAATATGGAGACCTTTGTGCCACGGCTCATGACCAGTATACGAGACAGTACCGACCATTACATGGACGTCTTGACGAAAAGCATTGGAGGATTCATTGAAGATGCCGCCTGGAACTTTGGCGACTTGATCGATCTGACACGTACCATTCAAGAAGCTTCCAAATTCTGTCCCCATCATCCCGACTATATACCCAACAATGAAACCGACCAATTCGTCATTTACCCCAATGAAGATTCCATTACTCCCACACTTTCTCGATCGTCGTTGGAATCTGTCCTCGCCCTGGGGATGCTCACTGTCGAATCCGTCACGGTAGTGGCCGCACAAAAGTATCTGGACGAGTTGCAACATAATCCCATCAATGCAACCACTGCGGCCGTCCTCCACACCACCCTGTATTCGCAGAATGCCACCTTTTTGAATTTTACCGAAATCGACGATACTCTGGGGCTGTTGCGCGATGTCCTCACACCCGCCTTTTTGAACGATGTCGCACGAGGAATTGTCGATCCCAACACCAGTGCCGTCGCATTGCCATTGCCCACCGACACTACCTTTGACACGGGACTCGGGCATCAAGTGACGGTCGAACAAGTCCAGGTGCAAGGATTGGATACCGTCCAAAACTTGACCTTTCTAAAGGTCGTGGGACCGTACGAACTCGAACTGGAATTGGGACTGGAACGACTCGCAGGGGAAATACAGTTGTCATTCATGACTACTCCCGAGTATCCCGGAACACCCATGATGGAACCGGAACACATGACGGTATTTTACAATTTTACCGACGTTCATATCCACCTACGACTCTTTATGCAAGTCGATGTGGAGGAACTGGGCAATCTACAAATGTGGACGCTGTTGCAAGGCCCCGAATTCTTTGTCCCGTGCATCTTGGCGGCCGCCAAGCGCACGTCCATCGAATCGCTCAACGTCACGCTCGGGACGGCGGATCCTTTCCAAGTAAAGGGGTATCTCTCGAAGGACTTGGCAGCCATGGTGAATGGAGTCGGGGAAGACTTGTTTCGCGACTATGGACAAGATATTGTCGATGCGGTTCCCATCTTTTTCCAAACCACCGCACGTCGATTGGCCAATGAACTGCTGTACGAACAGTACTTGCAGTTGACCGAGAATACCACGGCATGTGTTCTGACCAACACGTCTCATCTGAACGATTTTGTGGATTTTCGAGCACTGTTTCTGGGAAAAGGGGAGAAAGATTATGGTAACTTGTTCCAACAAATTTACTCGGCACTCGAAGCGGAACTCTTTACCCCGGCCGGAGTGAAACAGATCAACGATTTGGTTGGAAATATCACATTCGAACAATCCAACATTACGGGGGCATTGACATTCGAGGAGAACGGAGTCTATGCCGAAGGAGACATCCCACTGGGAAACGCGGTTATTTCGGGCGAAGTCAATCTTACCAACATTGCACTCTACAACCTCGATAGTCTTGGAATGCCCTTCCGTCTGCTCTATCCCAACGAGTCCTACTTGTTGGACAGTGATATCACCGTGGGTGCCGGTGGCAAGCCTCTTACGCTTTCGGCCGATTTGAAATTCAAGGCAACCGATGGAAGTAAGTCATTTATTTCGCATTGCATACTAGCTGAGATCGTCTCGTTCGTCGCTCGTCCTAACTCCGTCGTCGTCTGCGACACACAAAACAGATGAGATGAACATTGACAACGATGTCAGTTTCGCAATTGGCTTTGACACCCTCACAATGCTGCTCAGAATTCTGCTGAAAATTCTTGAGAAATCATTCCTCACCTTCCCCCTCAAATCAATGACCAACGTGTACTGCTGGATTGACCTTCTTCCACCCGCGTCTCCAGAAATTTTGAATTCAACCAACCAGAACCAGTCAGGGATTGCCATTTACGATATAATATGGAACTATACCAACGCGACGACAGATCTTGAGTGTCGTTGCGATGATTGTTGCACAAGCCCCGAGCTTCCTGACCTCTTCACAGAGCTATACTCCCAAGGAGAAGATAGTTTTGACCAGATTGAAGAGCTGGTCAAGCGAGTTTTGGATGGTCAAGCTGTTCAGAATGTCCTGGGGCAGATATTGGAAACTGCACCTGCGTACTGCCCCCATTCAGACGAATACGATCCCACCGTAGCAGGCACCACGCCAAACATCCTGGATCCCGGCACACCACCAGGAGTTGAGGGGGAAGAAGGCCGAGACCCCAATGCCTTCTTTTTCAATCTCTTCTTTGGTGGATTCGGCATCATGGTCTTGTTATGCTTCATCACAGCAAGGCTCATCATCTTCGACAAGAACAGGAAGTGGAAGAAATCACTTTCGAGCGAAGGGAAAGTGCTTTTGTGCCAGCTGGAGGAAAGGAAGCTGGAGCGAGACGATTATCTCGACCAAACAATGGAGTCGTTGTTCTACACAACGTTCATTCCTGCCTCTGTTCGCTATGGCGTGCCAATTGTGATGCTTTTGGACATCTTTCTGTTTTCCATTGCACACACTCAGATATCGATCATCATTGGTCTTGATGTATACTTTGCTGGCGACCAATTCTACATTGCAGAAATCTTCACTTTCACCTTCTTCGATGGTCTCAGAAACACATTTGACAACGGAGGTTACGAAATGGCGATCTTGCTTCTGATCTTTGGCGGCATATGGCCATACGTGCGATGCGTCCTGTCCATCATCTTGTGGGTGGTACCTCCGACGTGGCTGTCTTCGGATCACCGAGGCAGGATGTTCATCTGGATTGATGCCATGAACAAGCTTACAGTCAGGGACATATTCAAGTTTCTGACTATAATCGCAGTGATTTTTATCTTCGTCGGGGGTCCCTACGTATGGAATCAACCAGGAAGTGTCTTGTACGCAGTGAAGATCATCGCGGTACCGGGGCCGGCAATATACTGTGGAATTTCCGCAATGATTGTCTCTCGAGTCAGTGGCGTATGGATCCTTGAATACCACAATATGGCCATGAGGGCTGCTCGCAAAGAATACCACCGCGAACACATGAATCCGGCATCATACGGCCTAATGGACCTCACGGAAGTCCCGGAAATCCCGGAAGAAGAGGAGGAGGACGAAGATTCCGAGACAGATGACGAGGATGAAGTTGAAACAGAAATCTCGGGAGGTTCGTTGACAGACGACGACTACTCTACCGTTCCAACGGAGATCGATCTCCCAGGAAGTCGCTACATCATCGTTTGCGGCAGGAGAATTCTTCTCGGCACTCTCGGTATGGCCACCGGCGGAATTTTCGTTGCTATCTTGGTGCTGGTGGGCCTCATCTTTGTTCCTGCAGTATCGGTTGATCTGTCTTCCATTCTGGAACTGATACTTCAGTCCGGTACAACCTACGAAGAAGCCATCTCTACGTTCGGTGTGTATTCCATGATATGTGCAGTCCTTATCAAAGCCCGACTCGTTCTGGAGAACGCCTTGGACTACGTCGCAATGTCAATTTTTCTGCTCGCGGGTATTGTTGCCGTCTACTTCATGTTTTTTCTCCAGTTCTACCGCTGGATAAAGGCTATCCGCACGCAGGGCTGGAGGCAACTCTTTCCCCTGTTTTTTGAGAAGGACCCCGACGTGGTGAAGCTGCCGGAATACTTGCGACTATTTGCCCACAGATACTCCACTGCTTGGGTGGTTGCATTTTCTATTGGAGTTTTTCAGCTGGGAGCAGGTAAGAGAAGGAACTGCGTATCAACCCCATCAGTTTGCCATCTTATGCAGCATGCCGCTCACTTACTTATCCCTTCTTTTTTCAACCATCTTGCTCCCAGTGACAATCTACGCTATTCACTACTTTTGCTCGTTCCTCGACACAATCTACTATCAGCTGGAGTTCATCGGACTGATACAAAGCACGGAGGGGCTATGTTGGGAATCGCAAATGAGTCAAGTTCACAACTTGATTGTCTTCATTTCATGCTTTGCGTACTTGATCTTTTGTTTCATGGTCCAGCTCACAGTGCAATATCGAGCCAATGTTGCGGAGGCTAGCCGACTGATACGTGAATTGGACGAAGAAGGTGCTTTCCTGGAGCATCTTGAGGGTGCTATGAAGGGAGGGAAACTAAAGAGTGTTGGGCCTATCAACAGCTCCATTGCCGAGTCAATTCGATCCCGTCTGAGTGGGTCGGAAATGTCCGATCTGCAACACCTCTACGACGCAGCTGTGAAAACTGAGGCAGAAGCAGAATGGGTTGGCCCGGCCAGGCCCCCTTCCACTTTTGACATTTCAGAAAACAAGCTTGACGACGACGACAGTTGCCTCCCGACTTGCAGCATCCGAACAAATGCACCAAGCGTTGATGGAACAGAGCAATCGCCAGCCACTCTGGACGAATCGGATGACGAAGTTGTCAGCAACCCGGGCATTGATGTGGATGAAATTGACGTGGACGATGTTGATGTCGACAGCATGGCTTTTACAGTCGACAACAGCGTCGTGGTCGACAACAATACTGGGGAGATTGAAGTTTGAAGTGCCTCGGTGAAATCCACCTCTTGTTTGGCGCCGTCTCCTTTGCCGCGCGACGTCAGTTGCTTCCTTGACTGGCACGACGCCGGCTAGCCCCAGCAATATATGAAAGGCCTGTCTAACTACTGCAATTGTTTGCAGGAGATGGTCTCGAAAGTTCCCCAGGTCAGGATGGTCCGAGCGTTACTGCTGGCTAGCTAGACGAAGACGTCTGATAGTTCTCTCAATCTACTTCCCAAAACTTGGGGTTATGGTGAAATAAGTAGACCTCTGGAGGAACATGAGCGAAGAAATAGTGGAAGCACTCTAGATGATCTTGCACCATAATCATAGCCTCTACCCACCGCTTCAAATCCTTCTTTTGGTATTGGTAGGGTACGTTGTGCTGTTGCCTTGCCTTGCAAATGCGCGGACCGTTCTGCAGGGCATCCAGGTCGCGTGGTTTTATCTCCCAATCTGCAAAGTTGCCAAGGGTCCAATCAGACAGCCCTGATCGATCGGTAGCCTCCAAAAGATAGGCGTAATGCTGTGGCGGAATGGTGACAGTAACCAGCCGAGGGTTGGTCCGGATGACCTCCGTGATTGGTTCCCAGCAAGCCTGGGGGTTGCAGAGAGTAGTAGTAGATATGTCAATAGATTTCAAAGCACATGCTTGTTTCAACGACTGTGCCAACATAGCAAAGGAATCAGGCGTACACCACACCCTGTCATACTGGAGCCAACTGGCCGCATCCTCTCGTTTCACATAGTTTTCACTACTGCAGGCAATCAAACTGAATTCTTCAAGTCCCCTCAAGGCGCCCACCTTTTCAAAGGTAAGAGGCATATCCCCACCCAACCCGGAAATGACAAGCTTGGACAATGTAGAGGGCATCCGTTCCAATAGCTCTGCCCATCGCTCGTCGCTCATGACGGTTGCGTCAATAATACGAACGCTTCGCAACCGACAACAGAGTTTCCCAACAATGTCACAGAGCCGAGTCCATTCTTCATCTGTAATACTCTGATTCTGCCATCGGTCGTCTCCGTCAATGAGCAAATCATCGATATGATCAGTACCACCATCATCATCCTCCGAAGTAAAGAGAGGATCCAAGCGGGTTTCCAATGATTCCAATGTGAAGGGTCCACTCGAAAAGTCTTGAAGCTTGCGACCACTGCAGGAAATGGCAAGAAAAGAGGCAACTTTTTTGTTGCCATCAGGGCAAGCGCCCCACAAAAAGTCAAAGAGACTTGGTCGATCCATCATTGACGAGCTCCGCCTTGTGGTTGACTGATGACACCTCTTCTATTCATTGGCATTTCGATCCCAGTAAAATGATGGATGGATTGAAAGCGAGAAAGCGAGTGTGTTGTGTGTGTGTGGTGTGGTTTGCTCCAAAGCTCCCGGACCTTTCTCATTGGTGGCTGGTTATCCCGTAACGGCCATCAACTTTAGGGTTAGAGGTCAAAAACCATGCACGAAAGATCTCTTCGAACACTCAGTCGTGGTTTTCGTAGTTGGGTCGTTGGGTGCTCGAAAACACCCCGTGAGGTTGCCATAAATTGGCCACAGAGGAGCTCCTGTCATTACCATACTTCCCGTCGCTGTCATCATGTCGTCCAAGCCCAAGCCAAACCCCAAAAAACAGAAACTTGAAACTGCTGCTCCTGCGTTGTTGGATCAAAAAGATGTTTGGATCAACGGCATCCTTCCTTTTGTAGGCATGGGTCACTATGCCTTTGTAGGAGCCGTCAACAAAAAGATGAATCACCTCTACAAAGAGTATTGTGATTCCGCGAGGGATCCACCGATGGTAAAGGCTGTTGAGGCTCCACGAATGCTCTGGAAGTATCAGGCCGATCCAAAATTCCAGGCAACTAGCACATCCACAACCTATAGTTCTGCTTTCCAAAATGAGGCCACAGCAGAATTGTGGCTCAGTGATGATTCCAATACTAAAGTGCCTGCTCGATCCAAGGTGTGTGAAGCCATAGCCAAGCTTGGGAATGTTGCTGTTCTTCGGTGGGCCCGTGACAAAGGATTTCCATGGGATTTTTGGACATGTTCACATGCTGCCTATGGTGGGCACCTTGATGTATCGAAATGGTTGCGTGAAAATGGTTGCCCCTGGGGTGCATACACTTGTGCTTTTGCTGCTCAAGGTGGACATTTGGAGCTGCTTGAGTGGGCCAGAGCTAATGGTTGCCCATGGGATTGGCGGACATGCGCAAGTGCTGCTGGAGGTGGACATTTAGAGTTGCTCAAGTGGGCACGTGCAAATGGCTGCCCGTGGTACAGAGATACATGTTCAGAGGCAGCCAGAGGTGGATGCTTGGAGGTATTGAAATGGGCTCGTGAAAATCGCTGTCCGTGGGACGCAAGTACTTGCAGATGGGCTGCCTTTGGCGGTCACTTGGAACTGCTAAAATGGGCCCGTGACAACGGCTGTCCTTGGGATGCAAGGACATGTGCAAAGGCTGCCTTAGGTGGTCACTTGGAGGTCTTAAAATGGGCCCGTGCAAATGGCTGCCCATGGAATCCAGTGACTTGTGCAAAGGCTGCCTTAGGTGGTCACTTGGAGGTTTTAAAATGGGCCAGAGACTATGGCTGCCCATGGAATGCACGGACATGTTCAAAGGCTGCCTTGGGTGGGCACTTGGAGATTTTGAAATGGGCCAGAGAAAATGGTTGTCCTTGGGATTCAGACGCTTGTGCAAATGCTGCTATGGGTGGTCATTTAGAAGTACTGAAATGGGCACGTGAACAAGGCTGCCCTTGGGACGCCAGAACTAGCAAATGGGCTACAGAATTTGGACATCGTGATGTTTTGCAATGGGCACTTGCCAATGGATGCCCAGACTACGTTGAAGAGGATTGAAGCCAGCAGTGGAGAAGAGGAATCAGTAACCAGGAAGTTGGCTGAGATGTGACCGCATACCAGGCACTCTCACCACCACGACAAAGAGGCATAACGAGCCCCTAAATGGGGCGTTTACTATTCTCTCAGATGTGAACACGGGCAATTTCAGTGGATGTTTGAACGTGCGGGAGTTGTGTCGACTTACACTACGTAATCATAAAGGTCTTGTGTCCTGCGGCTGCTACAGTTATTTGTAGCTACGGGTCGTGTCCCAGCGTACGGGTCGTGTCCCAGCGTACGGGTCGTCGTGAAAATTGTGTACTACTAATCAGGCTGAACACTTTACAAGACCACACTTATCTACTAGCTAGCCGTCAATAGCAATGATGACGAAACGCGAAACAGAAGCTGGCGCTACCGGTTCCTTTCATTCAAGGCGAATCCATTGCACCTCCCTAATAGCTACCATCCCTACTGACATCGTCTGGGGAGTCAGGTGGGAGCATGCCCTCGTCCCAGCTCTCAACCTCGCCACCACCACCATTTTTGAATGCACGGCTCGCTGTGGCCTTGTAGAGTGCCGGCAAGTCGGAAGTGTCACCAAATGTGACATGGTGGAAAAACTTAGGAATATGTTCGTCACCAGCAATCTTGATGTATTGTAAGGCAAGGGCTCCTGGATCCATGAACTGGCTATAAAAGTTCAAAACGGGCATCGTGGGCAAAGATTCACCGAAGTAGGGTGGCAGTGGTACAGCGGATTGGTAAAATTCGTTGATCGTCTGCAGATCAGCCGTCAAATTGCTTGGGAGAAGGAATTCGGTCATGAACAGCAAGCCAGATGTAATGATGGGATACTCAATCTTCACACCCTGCACCGACGCAGGAAATCCAGCCACAGTTGTGTCAGAAGGATCCTTAGTCCCTCCATAAGTTACGGTTGTCAGAGGATTCGTTGCCCCACTGACATCTCGGTTAGCCCAAACTTGAGTAGCAAGGGAAGAGAAAAGGCACGTGGTTGATCCGGCAGCACCATCTGAGACGATGGCATACTCGTCAAATTCCCAGTCATTTTGGAATGCCCTTGCAATTGTATGACTGTAGATTGCCCTGTTTCCAATGGAATACCTGTTGGTTGTGGTTTGAGGAACACCACCTCTGATGGATTCAACGAGATTGTCTTTGTCGATCTTCGCTTCAAAGCCAAGAACATTGAAAGGATTGTAAGTGCCAAACAGATCCAAAACAATTTGGATTGTGGCTCGGAGCTGCGGGCCAGTCATGAATTCTTGGAGTGAATCCAATTGATTGAGAAGGCCAAACAAAGGTTTACAGCTGTCATTTTCCGCGCAAGTTACGGGGTCTTCACCAGAGCAACAGAATACAAGCAAAGCGGTCGTCACACCCTCAAGTTGCTGCGAAAAGTTCTCTGGGAGAGTCTCGAGATAGTCTTGCATCTCAGTATCGGTTGAATTGGCCAAGTCAAGTATCAGGGCATCTACAAGTACACCAATTGTTGCATTGTAGATGAACATCACATCATTGTAGTTTTGATCATACTAAGGAGCAACTGTGAGGGAACGAGTACAATGTGGGAAGCATCTAAAAGAAGAGATTTGATTGACTCACTTGTTCATCAACCAGATCAAAGGATGTGAAAGGATACATGGAAAGGGCCAGCAGTGTGCCCGAAATAGCAGTACCGCCACCGTTGGCACTAATGTCGATAATGGCCTTCTTGACTCCCTTCGCCTTTGCAGACGCAGTGAAATTGGACCAAAGATCAGGGATGGCAAGTCCTTCCCAGTCGCCCTCTTCACCAATTGTATCTGGTACACCATCGTTGAAAATGAGACTGAAATCTTGAAGTTTGAGAATTGCATAGTCCTCCTCCACCTTTGTGGCAGCCATGAGAGCACCTCCATAATAGAAGTATTCATCAAATTCGTACTCTTCCAGGGCACTTTTTGCTTTAGGTTGCGTCGTTGACAGCTTCTTTACCACAGACGATGGATCCTCTGGAGGAGTCAGTTCAGGTGCGGTGACATTCTCATCCAGAAAATTGACAGCACTTTCAAATGCTTGCCACACGGCTCCAGGCGCGTCAAGAGTGGGGACTTCAGTTAGATTGAAGTAGGCATACTCATTGCCACTGTAGAAAAGAATGCCATGGTAGAAGGTTTCAGATTCGCCAGAGGCATAGGTGACAGGAAAGCTCTCAGGGATCAAAGAAGGTCTGACATGCATACTATCAAACGTCATCACATTCGTTGAAAAGGAATAGACCCTGAAGAGTGCATTCAACCTTGCACCCGGTGACTGGTACGGTGTTACGGTCAATGCAGCACTGCTTGCCAAGGAAAGAAAGAATTCATATGGCGAAACATCGTTGATGGTTTCCACCATCTGGGTTTCAACACTTCCATCCTCTGATGCAAAGTGAACATGGAATTCCAACTCTCCGCCGTCGCTGTACTGCACTGAAAAGGTGGGTTCTGAAGGCTCTTCTCCTTCAACGTATCTCCCCGGGATAATCAGACTGGCATAGGTGGTGTACTCGAAGTCCACGCTTGGAATCCCCACATGGGCGTCAAAGAGCTTGGAGAAGATTAGTTGAAGGTCCCAAAGAGTAGAGACAGTGGCCCCATTTTGCTCGATGCTCGCTGCCAGCGCAAGGAGTTCATCGTCTAGCCTAACTTGACCTTCTTCCGGCCCCGAGAAGAGGGTGTATCCGAGCTCGGGCTGATAACTAGCCGGGGTACTGTTGGCTGGATCATTCACAATGTTGTAGAAACAGTAATACTCCCTGAAGTTTGTGCGAATGGCTTCTAGATGCAGCAACATGAGCGTGCTATTGACCTCAATCGCGTCAAGGCAGTTCTCGACATACGAGGGGCTCAGAATTGGTGTTGAGCCATTCTTGAGGAGCACGAATGCTTCATTCGGTGGAAGTTCACAAGGATGGATTTCCTCCAAGGCACGGGTGCTGCGCAAGTGCTCCTTGGGTGGGCCACTGCTGGCAATGGTGGAAACCACAATGGAAACGAGAGTCAAGGCTCTCATCAACAACATGGTCGGCGTTTCTCAGAACAAGACAAGAACTGAAGCTTGGGCTACCCTACTCAAGAACAAGAGAAGAATGCGAGCAACTATGGTTTCAAATCGTTAAGTCAGGAACTGAAGATATGCCTCTCCTCCTGGGTCTTCTTCGTGCACCAAATTTGTTGACATCGTTACCAACTGATAGCGGCTTCCTACAGTAGTACCTTCCTTTGGCCACTGTCAACAATTTTCCTTTTCTTTTGCCCAAAGATCTTTTGTGTGACCAAGGTCATACCGTGTCCCAAAAGAGCTTTTGGAGATTGGATTTCATGTTTCTAATAATTAAGTTTTGGATTTGTGTCCGTTTCGTGTTTCATCGTTTCGAGGTCGAAACGAACGTTGTGTACCGGTAGGTCTAGCTAGCGGTAGCTAGAGTCTAATTTGATTGAATTTTCATAATTTTAAAAGTCTTCCAACTACAAAAACTCCTTTTGGGACACGGAAAAAACGATTGAAGCCACCATTTGATCCGGGGAAACGCACGTTCAGTGCAACGGCACGGTACGGACATCGAGTCGAGTCGAGTCCAAGCTCGTGGTGCGATGCGATGAAGCATGAAGGATTGTTGAAGGCTTCAATGATGCTCTTGAATGTAAGGTGAGCTAGCTAGCTCGGAGTCCGGATCTTCCGATTGCGAATGCACCTACCGTGACACATTTAATTTGGATCTGGATCCTTGAAGGGACACAGAGGCACGTACCGGTAGGGCCCAGTTTGTTGGCTCGTGTTTTCAAAGTCAATGCATCCATGTTGCAGGGAGTGCCAGTGAATACCTAGCTGGTCCTCATTGGTGTTTTCGCGCGACGAGATCACGAAACATTATTAAAACGGAGCCCATCGACAGGTTTTTGTCCACCCCCTTGCTAGCTAGTCTCGTTTTGTAGAGTTTACGAAAAGATTCCGCCGCTTCCGCCCTCATCAAAACGAACTTAAATATGGAACAGCAGGTCCAACAGAACTAAATAATAATACACTGATTGCAGAATCGGCCTGTCCTCAGCGAATGGTGATTAAAGCGTAATCTTCAGATAGGCTTGAATTGTTGAGTTCTTCGTGCCCGGGACAGCTACAGTTGTACAATGAAGTCTTCCCCAAGAGCCAACAAAACGACTGTCAAGGCCCTCCCCAGATATTTTGAGGTGGCAAATTGAGACATCGATTCAGCAATCATCCAAACCAACAAGCCTACAAAGCCAATCACAGCTTTTGCCATCGGCAAGTCGAGCACTCGCATAAATCAGCGTACAGTACTGTACCATCACCACAACTGGACGGGGCAAACATTACAACGCAGTACCCCGTTCCAAGCTCTGTTTGATTTCTGCAGTAGCACGATCGTAGTTGCGACTGATCTTCTCATTGAACCTCTTGTTCCTGTTTTCAGTTCCCCCAATCAAAATTACGACAAATAAATAGAACCATGAGCACTGGAACCAACACAACACAACAATAAAAGAAACCAACAATCATGTCGCACCTTTTGCTAATGTACGTGACATCGGATTCCTCAAAGTCTTCACGATCCTTTCGTTTGCTCTGCTTTTCAATTCTTCGGTGCATCTCAGTGGCTAATCGACGGGCACCTTCTCGCTCTTTCTCTGGGTTTGTGGAATCCATCATGGCATCATATGTCTCTGTTCTGCTAGCAGCAGTCTCTTCGGCTGCATTGAGTTGTCGTGGAATGCTTTTGACGTTGCGTTCGTAGTGCCTATTCTGTCCCTCAATATTGACATAATCCCTGAAAGAGTACTGTTCCGCCTGCTTTTTCTCAGCCCTTCGTTCAGCACTTGCCTGTTTTGTTGGCGGCAATAATTGATTATATTAGAAACACGCAAACCAAACAAACAGGCACCCAATTTGCGAGCACAGTACATACCATGGACGAAGCTGCTGGTTCCACTAAACTAGCCGCTTCTGGATCTAATTTCTTTCCCCTTTTCTGCTGGGATGCCCCCCCTCCCTTGTTTATCATGGATTCTCCTTCTGCTTTGAGCGCTCTGTGATTCAATTGGCGTGCTTGGTTCATTTTCATTTTCAATTTCCGGAGTCTATTCTTGATGGCTTGGGATTTGGACAGATTTCCTTCCTCCTCCTCCTCCTCTGGTTCCTCTTCCACTACATCGTCTTGGTCTTCTAGCGGTGCTGCAGCTTCTTGTGGGGTGTCCGTTTCGTCTTGGTTCGGTGCTTCCTCTGGTTCCGTCACACCACAGTCCACAACAATGACAGGTTTCAGAGGCGCATCCCCCGAATCAGTCTTGACTTGCTCTAATTTTCTCAACAGTTGACTGCTCTGCCTCAGATCCACACGCCCGAACACTACATGCTTGCCATCCAAATGTGGTGTCTTGCGGAATGTGACAAAGAACTGGGATCCATTGGTATTCTTGCCAGAATTGGCCATGCTCAAGGTCCCCTTGGTTTCGTGCTTGAGAATAAAATTCTCATCGTCAAACGTTTCTCCATAGATGCTTTCTCCACCCGTTCCATCGCCGTGTGTAAAATCTCCAAACTGTGCCATGAAACCAGGAATGAGACGATGACTGATGGAATGGCGATACGTCAGTCGGCCCTGTCCTTTCAACAGAGCCACGAAATTCTTCACTGTCAACGGTACAACATCATCAAAGAGTTCCAAATGCAGTGTCCCCAGCTCATCCAGACCATGCTTGATTGTCATAAATGCCTTGATCATTGTTCCTTCTTCCTTGTCTTCTGGCTTGTTGTTATTGTGGTTGTTTGTACCTCGCGGTAGTTAGCGTGGAAGTGAGTGCTGCTGTAGCTGTTGGGAAAGAACGGCCACCAAATACCACAGAGCCTTAACCCTAAATATTGCGCGAAGTTTTTGCGCTCACCCACGGCATTCATCTTTGTTGACACCATCCAACAAACACCCATCAATCGACCACGATGATGATGAACATGAGGAAAGTTACGATAATACCATCGGTGCTCGCGAGAGCAGTGAAAGCAAGATGCCTTGCTGGTACACAACAACAACAACGACTGTTCTTGAGCAGCATGGACACGGATCGTTGGAAGACGGAAGACTGGGAAGACTTTACCAAGAGGGGCAAGTATAGTATCCAAACATACAATAAGATCTCGACCAAGGGCTTGGCGAAATTCCCGCAAGAAATGTACGATGTGTCTCCTGCCGAATTTGCATCCGGACCAGCACAAGCTCTACTGATACGGTCACACAAGCTGAAAGAGGACGAAGTAGACGTGTCTGTGAGGGCGATTGCTCGATGTGGCGCGGGAACAAATAAGTAAGTCTATGCCTGGATGATACGATGGTGGATGTTTTTATTCCCCCGTACTGCAAATCATGGATCCTTCTCCACTCATCTAAAAGCCTTTGTTCATTTCAAGCATAGCATTCCAGTAGCTCGAATGACAGAATTTGGAATACCAGTCTTCAATACTCCAGGAGCCAACGCCAATGCTGTCAAGGAGCTCATTCTTTGCGGACTCTTTCTTGGTAGCCGAAGAATCACCGATGGAATCAACCACATGAGAGACTTGGGAGAACAAGGAGTGGCAAGAGAGCGTGTAGAAAAGGATAAAGCCATGTTTGGAGGACGAGAAATCAAAGGAAAAACCATGGCCGTGATTGGATTGGGACATATTGGTGCACTGACAGCGAGAGACGCTGCCGGGCTTGGAATGGTCGTCAAAGGGTACGATCCCGGCCTTTCCGTTCAGTCCGCACTGTTCTTGCCACAGGGACTAGAATTGATGGACTCCATCACCTCGGCCATTGCCGATGCGGATTACGTATCACTCAACATTCCCTACATCAAAGGAGACGGTGGAACTCACGGAATCATTGGAGCGGATGTCGTACGGCATCTCAAACCGGGTGCCGTCGTATTGAACTTTGCAAGAGGAGAACTAGTAGACTCCCAAGCCATGAAGGACCACTTGGATAATTCCGATGGACGATACGTGTCTGACTTTCCGGACGATGAACTGTGGGATCACAAGAACGCAATCATCATCCCGCATTTGGGGGCGTCAACGTCGGAAGCCGAAGATCAAGCCGTGAGTACAGTACATATACAGTGCTGCAACGTTCTTCCTATTGTGTGTTATTATGTGCTTTGTGGCTCATGCTGTCGTGTTGATCTTACTTTTCCCCGTCGTCTACTACGGTAGGCTGCCATGGCTGCCGAGACCATTCGAGACTTTATCGAGCATGGAACAATTCGAAACTCGGTCAACTTCCCCACCACCGAGCTCGCAGAGAGACGTGACCATGCCATGCGTGTCACTGTGGTCAATAAAAACGTTCCAGGAATGGTATCCAAAATTGCAACAGCGTTTGCCAATGCGGGCATCAACATTCTACAACAAATCAACAAATCACGAGGAGATATTGCCTACAATGTGCTCGACTTTGATCCTGCATCTGTCAGTGACTTGAAAGTCGACCTGAGAGATCTGCAAAAGGAGTTGACCTTGTTGGATGGTGTCCTCAGCAGTCGCGTTCTGTTTGGTATCCCTGGTGCTGGATATGCGCGGAACATTGATGGCAAGTACCATGTGTAGGTAGTGTTACAAGGAATGAATGAATCAAAAATAATATTATAAACTACTGTAGTCAAGGTGTGAACCATTGCATGCATCATGTTTTTGAATGGCCCAGTTCGAAGGCTCGGAGGAACGGAAGCTTCGGGGATCTCCTCTCCGACATCGGTGCCACGAACAAGGTTGATCGATTCAGATTCGATTCGGTTCGGTTCGATTCATGCCACTGAAGGAAACCAAGCCGTGCGTGCCTGCCATTCTCCTGGGGCTAAATTAGCTTACAAGACTGTCCCAGGAGATGCTCTCGTCGACGACCAACAAGACGAATCGAATGTCTTTTAGCGGGTCGGTGCAGGTATTCCAACGCAATTGCAACTTGACGAAAGTCTTTAGCAGGCGGGGCACTTTTTGCTAAAATCGTATGTCGGGTATTCCTGATGGGCTGGGAGAGCATACCGGTACCGGTGCATGCAATCTTTGAATTGAAGATTGAATCGAATCAATCATTCATCCATGTGGAGGCTTGCTTGGAGAGAGGATAGACTTCCCCGTAACCCCTCGTTCTGTGGTGTACACCAGGAGGATATTACTAGCTGTAGTCCCAGTTTGAAGGTCCTGTCTGTTGGCTCACACGTGCTTTCCAAACAAGCAAAGCCAATACACATGGAGTGCAAGTGAGTACCTAGTAGCTAGCTGGTCCTCATGGTCATGGACGAGACTCGAACAAATGAATCCGTGCCTTTAGAAGGATGCGAATCACATTTTATTTTTTTCGTTGTCGTGGATCAAGCAAAGGGTGACTGGATTGGCGTAAATTTGAAGTGGTCTACCCCAGTTGTCAAATCGCTAAACCAGAAGCCAAGGACAACCAAGCATAATGGTAGCAAAGCAGCGTCTTTGGCTGCGTCCCTGGTTTACAACTCAGCCACGATATAGACATGTAGACTACCGTACCCATGTGCATGGCCAAAAGCCGATCTGGAAGACATGGATGGATCGTGTGAATTTCGTAGTGCGCGACTGAGTCATCCACTGTCATCCCAGTGGACTGTAAGTCTTACCAACCATGAACGCGTTCTTCTAAGCATGTTCGGTGGCTATTCTTTCAACGACACTACACCATTTTTATTTAACGAACAACAAGGAGAAGTAAAGACGCAATAAAAGTAATAGAGCTCGCAATAAGAAAGCTTCTGATGTTCGGGTGCCTTGTGTGATCGGTGAGGTACAGTACTACCAGTAGACTGTACGTACCAGTACGTACCGTACGGTACTGGTACCGGGGAACAACTCCGATTTGGTGTTGGCACATTCAATTTTTCTCGCAGACTGGTCACGCAGTCCTGCCAAAGCCTAAGAAACAGTCCGGGGAGTTCACCCCACCCTTCAAATACAAGTCTCCATGCAACAAACCCACCGACCAACAACGACAACGCCAACCAAGCAAATGACATGGTCTATCATGCTGGCTCCGAATGAAAAAACTGGAAGCCCGAGGGTGGACACGGCATGACCACTACTCGCAGGCTATATGGGCTGGCTGGGCATCTGAGCCACCAAAAAGGCCATCCACGGTGACAAGGATGACTGGGCCACTTTCTCGGTCCGTTCACAGTCTCACAGGCAAGACTATCGATCATGCGTCTGTACAAAACGAAAAGGATAAGCCTCTCACAATATACAAACTTGAGAAAGTAAAATCCCATCAACAAACAAAGAACAACATGTTTCGCATTGCCAGGAATATTTTGACGGCGGTCCTTGCCACTGCAGTGATGGACAATTGCTCGGCTCAGGTCACCAACATTGTGGGTGGAACCCCTGCGTCCCACTCGGACTACCCTTACTTTGTTTCCTTGACCATGGGCTGTGGTGGGACCTTGGTGAGTAGTAGAGAGACTCGACAGTACTTCACTTTCACGATTAGATATGGAATAGACGGCTAACACTCTTTTGTTTCTTCCTCTTCTCTTCAATCCTCTAGGTCCACGAAGACATTGTCGTGAGCGCAGCCCACTGTGATTCTAACGGCTTTGAAGCAAAAGTTGGACCCGATAGGACGGAAGTTGGATACAACAATAAAGTCGTTCATCCAAGCTGGGACTCTCGATCGTTTGAGTACGACTTTATGGTCATTCAGTTGAGCCAATCATTCCCCGACCTTCGCACGGCATCCATCAATAGCAACAGCGGAACTCCGTCGGGCGGTCAATCCATGACCGTCATGGGATACGGAAGGACATCCTACGGTGGATCTTCTCCCGGCGAGCTATTGGAGGTCACCATCAACCATATCGACCATGACCAGTGCAATGACGACTACGGAGGCTCCATTGACGAAGATTCCATGTTTTGTGCCGGTGTGGAAGGGGGCGGCAAGGACTCGTGTCAGGGAGACTCGGGTGGTCCTCTCGTCATTGGTGATACGCTTGTGGGCGTGGTCAGTTGGGGTATTGGGTAAGTCATGCAGTTGCCTAGTCTTTACATGATGTCTGATCGATCGCAACCATTTCCAGCTCATTCAGTTTTCTCTCTCTTATCTGCTTCTTTCTCATCCCCTCAGTTGTGCGGAACCGGATTATCCTGGTGTCAATGCCAAAGTCAGCGCGGCTGCAGAATGGATTGACAACTGGGTCTGTTGTATGTCTGCCAACCCTCCAGGTGGATGTTCCTGTGACTCTAGTGGCAACGCGGGTGTTCCATCTGGAGGCGGCGGTGGTGGAACTACTACAACAGACTTTCGATTGTGCTTTTCGGGAGATACTCAAGTACAAGTCCAAGACAAGGGGCAAATCCAAATGAAGCAACTGGAGGTGGGCGACAAAGTTCTGACATCCGACAATCAATTCGAGACCGTCTATGCCTTTGGACATCATCACGACAATATCCTGGCAACATTTGTGGAGCTCTTTGTGGAGTCCAGCAAGCGTGCACTCCAAATGACTGGCAACCACATGGTATACGTCCATGGAAAGAGCAATCCAGTCAGAGCAGACTCCATTCAAGTGGGAGACAGCCTGCTTGGCAAGAACAATGAACCATTGAAAGTGACCAAGATCCGTGAAACACAAAAGAAAGGAATCTACGCTCCTCTGACAAAGAGCGGCACGATTGTAGTCGACAATATTCTGGCTTCCAACTACATCTCCCTGCAGGACAACGCCGCAGAGTATGTCGAATTATCATTCCTCCCCAAAGTCCTCTCCCATCATGCTCTTTCGCATCTTTGGATGGCACCATTCCGCTTGTTATGTTCGACGACGTCCACGCAGTTTTGCCAGAGTGTCAATGAGAACGGACTCTCCCAGTATGCCGCCTTTGGATTCCAGTTTGCAGAGTGGGGACAATCTCAAAACATCCTTGTTCAGATCCCGTTCCTGATTGCAACAGTTGTGGTCCTTGCCCTGTTTGCCTTGATGGAGGTTGTTGTAGGCCTCCCAATGACATCCCTCGCCCTTCTTGCATGTGGTGTCGGCCTCTCGTATATGACAAGAGGATTGCACGCTAGCTTTACTATTGGGGCAAGCACCAAGCAAAAAGTAGCATAGAAATTAACAAGCGGCTGAAGCCAGTTCATAAAGTAATAGGGTACATAACATTGCATGATTGATGAAAGATACAAAATGGAATGCCCCCGCCTGAGATCTAGATTCGATTCCTCATCGATGCTACATGTAGATTTGGAAAGAGCTCCAGATTTGGTTTTGCTGCGTAGATATCCTACATCAAAGTGGCCAAGGGATGAATCTGCAAAAAGAACTACTACTACAGATGATACGAGCCACCCCAAATCGCTGTCACAGGCATTGTTCCCCTTCACCAGTGGCGATGACTGGCCTAACCCCATCGTAATAGGGACCCCGTCCAAAGAGAGGTGACCAGTTCCGGTTAGAAGCAATTTGGACCAATGCCACTTGGCAGTGGAGAGATCTCTGCTACTACTTGTACAGCTCTGGTATTCTCTTGATGGTTTCAGGTGCTCCTCCAGCCAACCGCAGATATCCTTTAGATTGATCTTCCGAGCAATGTCCCAAAAAGAATTCTTTGTTGTAACTTCCCGACTGCCCCTTTTGAAGAATATTCTCCTTGTCTCCTGTGAGCTGTACCAGCTGCTCTTCCAAATGGGCACG